ATATATAGGTAATATCTAGAAATTAGTGATCCGTTGAAGTCTTTAATGAAAGTTTTAATTTAAAAGGAAAAGGAAGAAAAAGTGTGATGTGGTGCAATTAAGCATTCTCGGTTTTATGAAAGGGTTTTTCGCAACTTGAGTCTTATATTAAAACCTTTAAGTTTTTCTATTACGATTTCAACAATGTCTGACAGAACTTGTTTCGGCTCTGTATTTTACAGTTTTGGTTATTTATGTACTTATGTTACATTACCGCCCCTAGCTTTGATGAATGAATCTTGGATCAAGACCTGATAATTTTCTACAAATATTATATTAAGTAAATTTCTTCAATTAGTTAGTGATCTCACTTCGAAATAATTACACGTAAGAAGAGAATGACGTGTTATTGTTACTTCTTGATCACAATTTGTACTTACCCGTCTTCATTAATTGGGTTGGGTTCGATTCTGTTTCAACTTGTACACTTCTGGTTTTTTTGATTGCAGTATCTACAAAGATTAAATATAGAAAATTATCGATACAGAAACTAGGTAATCAACAATTACATTCAATTAATAACCAGAATTTATACCTGTGACCACAGTTTTTAGAAGTAATACCTCTGTAGATAACGATTTAGTTTCAGATTGAAAAAAATTTCGAGACACTTGTGTTGATGTGGGAAGCATGAATACTTTCACAACAATGTTTCCACTAGCTTGAGACCCCACTGTCGTGTGTTTTTTCATGACATCATTCGTTCTTGTAGGCTCTATGTACGAATGACCTTGATTTTGTTCTATTTTCTTTTCTGAGGGTTGCGTTAATCTCAAAGATGTGACGTTACTGTTAGCTACATGCATCGTATCCATACTCGCTGTATACATATCTGGGTTGAGAATTAGCACCGGCGGGTCAGGGTCACTAGGTAATGTTAATGCACGGAACATTTGTACTTCGTTTTTCGCATCTTCTCGTTTAATTTTTTTTTTTGGAGATGGACATAGATTTTGTGGAGCGGGGTTATTCTTTGGTCGATTTTTTTCCTTAAAACACGGCGATCGTTTGTCGATATCTAAGACAATTATATTAATTTAGTCATCGGATTCGCCAAATTATTAAGCATACATAAGACGTACTTACTTAATCGTTGCAGACTCATGTGGTTTTCCGACATCGACGCACAATGAACTTTATTAATATGTTTTTGGTCTCTTTGCACTGTAAAAGTCGATTCACAAGTGACATTCCAAGGTTTTGTAGTTGTAAACATTATAAAATATCTGAACGATTTATTGATTTTACCGATGATGTCTGAAGTAGGCTTGTATGAGCAGGATGCCACCAGGGGCTGCACTGGAGACGTTTGCATATGCGTTGGCACGTAAAGTATTCGTCCTGTAAATATAAAGTAAAATATAATGCATAATCTTAGCAATATACTAAAATAAACAATAATAAATAAATTGTAATAAATACCTGACTCTGGATGCTTTAAGTTTTCGAACAAGTTAGTACTGTCGTTGCAATGAGACGATCCTGTGCCTAAAGAAAGTTGGCCAGACATTTTACAATACGATATATCGGGTTCTGGTAAAGAGAATGACATTTTAGATATCTATAAGAAATAATATGTTATTACAAAGATAATATGAATGAATTGAAAATATCGTCATTGTATGAAAGCTTTAAGTGACTCAAAACTTTTGTCTGTTTGTGTTAAATGGTACGTGAACTTAATATGTTCAAAAACACTGAAATGAAAAAAAGACCTAAAACGTCTAAGAATTTATTGACACCTAAATAATACTAACATTAGTATGCGGTGAATGTGAATTTGGGCAACCGGTATTCATTACAATATATCATATTTTTCAAGGCGCAATCTTAAACGTACCTGTAAGTGCTACCGAGCCTTGGTATATATCTATTCCTGCACGGTTGCATAACGAGGATAATGTATGGAAATTATTTGTATTCAATGTAGCTCCTAAAAATACAAAGCTTAATTTCGCAGAAATTCTCTTTATTTCTGACAAGCTAACGTTTACGAGATGACAAGAGACACTAACCGTTATCAAAACATAATCGCTTACAAAGCGGTACCACGCTTCCATCTGATTTCTTGGTTGATGATGAATTTGCTTAAAGAAAATAATTGCTTTAATATTGCAGTTAGAGCTAATGTTTGTGACTGATTATTGTGTCGAAGGTCAAATAGAATATTTCGAAAGAACTGTTCTCGGTTCACTTCTTGGGCAGTAAATTTGTAGTTACCGGAGTGTTTTTTAATCTATTAAGTACGTTTAAAAGTAACAGTACTAGCCTAGCAACTACTGAGAAGATAGCTCCTTCAAACGATGCTTACAAGGACAATTACTTGAGAAATATTAAGGTGAACTGCTGTCTCACTGCAGCAATACAAGTCACAAAATTTGCTATTTTAATAAATGATGTAGAAAAATTATTTACTAATATACAATATTGTAGTCACACTTACTTGTCATGCTTGAAACAATTTTCTGATTTATGACTGCACTATTTCTAACATTTGAGAAATAATTTGAGCTTTCAGGATTAAAAGAGTAGACACCTGCAGTATGTTGAATGTTCGTTATTAATGACGTTTCAGGTTTTAAATCAGATACATCGATACTTACCTTGACTCTCTCTTTGTGTGTTTGTTGAAGAACTATTAATGGTATTGCTATCGAAGGTAATTCTTCGTGATAATTCTGTGTTTATTGCGGATTCTAAAATATAATGTTAGTTGAAATCTTTAATGTTAGAATATCGTATCAACAGATTATAAGCTAAATCTTTGTTATTAATACCTCTTACTACACATATTCTTTTCGATCCTTCACAAGAACTACTACAATCACAGTCTTGTGCTGAAGAGGAATTGGTTACGTGAGATTTGTCATTTATAAATGATGATTTTACTTCTGAAACAATATCATAAGAACAGACAATAAACACATAATAAAATGGTATAGAAAAATTCAATGTACAATGTGATAAAATCCTATATGGAAAATTATCGTAGGTTCAAACTACGTACGCTTTTCAATAATTTGGGTATACACGTCGCACGACAGAGTTTCATTCATTTTATAATTAACAACATCGGTCATTGTGTTGACTTCGAAGGATAGTTTCGCAGTTGTTGCAGCAGTATCAAATTCGTTTGTATCTGTAAAATAAAATAAATTTGTAGGATTGTATAATTCGTTACTTTAGCGTGGAATGTGTGTGATAACACATACAAGCTGCGTTGCTACGTCTGTATTGAGTTACCGTACTTGTCTGTACTATGTTTGTTATTATATATTGTTGCCGGCATATAAATGTCTATCAGAAGTTTTCAAAGGAGCATGCTATTAAATACTTACTGGTGTCTTGATGACACACTGATTTGCGGGAAATTGTGTTAGACATTTTTGCTAAACAAATATTTTTATCTTGCGTGTTGTCCATATTTGAATGCGCCAAATTATCGTGTTTTACTATACTGTTCGTGGAAGTTTTTATTAAATCAGTATTTGTATCTTGAGCATTGTTGATACTTGTGGTCCTCAAATTTTCAGTACTTACTGTACTGATAATAGAAAAACTCGCTAAATCTATACTTGTATCTTGCGTATAGTTATTCGTGGAAGATTCTACTAAATCAACATTCATGTTTTGTATATTGTTGGTACTTGATATCCTCAGATCTTCAGTAGTCACTGTATTGTTTATAGAACTTGCTACAAAATCAATATTTCTATCTTGCATATTGTTAGTACTTTGGGTTCGCAGACTTTCAGTGCTTACTGTACTGTTCATAGAAAAACTCGCTAAATCTATACTTGTGTCTTGTGTGTGGTTAGCACTTAAGATCCTTAGATGTTCAGAACTTACTATACTATTCGTAGAAATTTTGGGTATATTAATATTTACGTTTCGGGTGCTGTGAGTACTTTGTGTGCTTAGACTGTCAGTTGTGATTATATTGTTCGTAGAAATTTTGGTTATATCACTATTTAGGTCTTGGATATGGTCAATAGAATTTCTTTCTCCTATCCTTGTTTTATCAATATTTGTGTTTAACGAACTGTTAATAGTTTGAGTGCTCAGGCATTTAGTATTTATTACACTGTACGCATAATTTTCTACTGAAGTTTTATCCTTACTTTCTGCTTCCGAGAGTGTGTGGTTATTTTCTGTAATGGTAAAGTTAGCTGTTAGAACATAGTTGTGCCTTGATTTAAACCAAAATTTATTGATCATTTTGTTACCAGGTTTTTGATTAGGTGACATGTATGTATCATCGTGTAAGCTTCTTGTGTTTAATTTTCTAATTACAGACTCTTTTTGCGGACAAATTACTTGTAATAAAATGGGTAAACTCGAAACTTTAGGTTTCGCAATTATCTCTGCTATTTCTTTTTCAATTGCTTTTTCAAGATTATTTACATTTGTAGACTCAGCTGTATTAATTACTTTTTTACTTTCATGTCCATTTATCTCTTTCATTTCTTTCAATATCAAAGACTTTTCTGACGTTTGTTTTAACGTCTTTTCAAATTCGCTACTAACAACAAAATCTGTAATAATGGCATCGATATCAAAACCAGATTCTTTAGTCACTAAACTAGAGCCATTAGATACTTTGTTCCTCCCAGCGTCTGGATTTGATGTTTCTGTTATTTCGATTTTATTTGAAGGTTTGATGTTTATGTCTTGTATGCCACGATTATTATTGAAGGGATTTTTAACTTCGCTTATATTTTGATTGCTTGTTTTAATAAAATCAACTTCATACTGTGTCGAAGCTACAAGTTTAAATATGTTTAGTTTAGATTTGATGGTCGTTCAACACCATGGAATACATTGTTGTCATGCTGTATTAAATATATCATAATATTCAATTAAAATTTACCTGTGACAAGGCCGACATCCTTTTTCATTTGAAAAATACTAGACCCCGTTGATACTTCAATGTCAACTCCCTTTATCGCTTCGGTGTGTATACCTTTTTCAGCTATAAATTATAAAGGATCTAGAATTACTTATCATTCGTACTAAATATTTAAAAAAATATTCTAAAATAGTATTTGGGCAGTCCTCATGAAACTCTGAAATTCGTGCTTTCGATATTTATGAAATTTTTTTGGAAGAATTTATATTTATTTTTAAAAAATATCATAGTACTTATGTGAATAAGGTTTGATGATCTAGTGATCCCCAAAATAAACGACTTTAAAAAAAGAGGGTACTCAGAATATTTGAAGGTGAGGGAATAACGAAATTAAAATAAACCAAGAAAAATAGCGTTATAAACTTACTGTTGGACTTATTATTTTGTCTAAGCTTACTGCTACCAATAACTTATCTGAGTGTATAGTAAATATATAAAATCAAATAGTTAACTTCTTTTTATATGATGTGAGGGAAACCGAAAAAAAATTAACTTTTAGAATATTAAATTTAACTTAAACATACTTTTAACTTTGAAACATTTTAACACTCATCATTTTGAAACCTTTACAGCGCTGCGAACTTTCAAAAGCTTATAAATACGTTTACCAAAGATTAAAACTGCATTCATAAATCGGGTCAAGGTAAAAGTGTGAGATAATGTTATTTTTGGTTGGGACATGAATAATATACATTTTTTAATATTATCGTGTTATGAACCTCAGTTTTCACAGCTTTAATTACACAAAACATATTCTATTGGCTCAAATGTTTAAAATTTAAAGCTTATTTTTGTTAAATTTGTTGATTTAAAGCACAGAACATGTTTAAGTATGGAACTTGGGACATAGTGAGGAAATGATTTTGGGGATACTGTAGTAGCAATAGCACTGAGGGTCGTATTCCAAAACTCTACGCAATGCTCAAGTCAGGATTTGAGCAGATTTGAGTATGATTTCAAGCACTGGAAATACGACGCTAATGGCAAGGACTTGAGTACGATTTCTAGAGCTTTGAATCATACTCAAGTCCTGACTTGAGCATTGAGTAGAGTTCTAGAATACGACCCTGAGAACACGTCTGTGATGGATCCACGCTTTGTTGCACTTTTATATTGGCATAAAAGACACAACGACTTTGCGGCCGGAAAAACAAGGTGTTGGGTTCATCCAATGAATCACGGACGGAAGTACAAATACATTTGAAAAACTGTAATGGTTCATCATTAATGTCTTTATGTTCGCTTCTCTGCAACAGAGAAAGGTGAAACACGTTTCAGGTATACTTTTGGTGGTGGTGGTATCTGCGAGTGTATTTGCGCTTATGTTATTTATTTTATTAATTTTAGGCGGAGGGAGGGTGAGAAAATTAAGTGCCTGAAAAAAATATTCAACACAAGCCCAGTTATTTTGCACGGTTTAACGTCCAATGGGTTCGCGGAGTAGAAAATTGTTTACCACCGTTTGCATCAAATTTTGGTACTTGTCTCTGCATTGTGACTTAAAAACACCAAGTCCATGTAACAAGCTATATGTATTAAGTAGGAAATAATGCTAACATGATTACACAATCGTTCTAGGTATGAAATCACTATAAAAATTTGATAATTTGTTACCTGTAGCATGGTACTTCGTAAATGTGACTTGTGTATCCGAGCCTATGGCAATCTCAGTTAATGTTTTGTGCTTATCTGAAGACAAATTCAATGGTTCAATGTTTATTTCATTATATGAGTACATATTTGTGGTTTGGTACAAAAAGTGCCTGCGTCCGAGACCGTGGTACTTGTAAAGAATCCCAATGTCCATTTGAAAAAACAAATACAAGATATCGATCCAAAAAAATTTTTCGTTTCCTATGTGTAACAATCGCGAAAATCTAAGAACTCGATATGTTCCGGTTTTGAAGGGTAAAAGGGAGCTGGAGAAATTACTGGCACATGGCACTTGTCAACTTATGTCTCAGGGTCACGGGCGCAGTGGTAGTGCTCCTCAGATCTTTGCAATTTAAAGCTCTGATTGGCATTAACTGTTATGGATAGGCGTTCAGCTTACTATCAGGTGCACGACTTGTTCGTCCCGTCACTTGATGTTATAAAAAAATGACATAATGACAGGGATTCCGCCAGGAAACTATTATATATACAACTAATAAAAATAACCCGACAGCTACTGTCGAGTATTAAGATGCTTTTAGATTGGCAAGGCGTGACGAGGATTGAAATTTGTATGGCAAAAATTATCTTCGGTAGAAATGATCTGGATTGACGACGACGGGCGAGGCGAGAATTGAAATATGTGTTAATGTAATACTGAACCGTATTGCTGCCTGCATATACTCTGCAACGGAAACATGATTTCTCGCGCGAGCTCGCGAAGGTTAATATCCAATCTATTAATATGAATGGCAAGATAGTGGGATACGTACGATTTGAGATTTAAAAAGATTTCGTCATCTGATTCTTCTTCCGTTCACATATGTAAAAATATGTTTCACATGGTTTACTAGACTAGACTAACTGAACAGCATAGAATAGTCATTTTCCTCAACCACAGCGCGAGCTCGCGCGAGCTTATTAATGACAATTTTTTGTTTTTTTTTTGTTATCTCGTCTCGTTTCGCCGGTGGAAAACCACCTTCAAATTAGACGCGTGTAGAAGAGCTACAGTGGTGTCGGTGGGGAGACAGCCGCGCTACTACTAATTTTCAAACAATATTTAGGTTGTAAAAGTGGCGCGCGCTTAGTGTGAATGTAGCGCTGCAATTGCGCTTCTGAAATTATATGATAATTAGCAGCGCTTTGTTAAGCGTCTAATTTAAAGGCACCGTTGGCACAATTGTACCATCATAACAAAAACTCATACCTGGATTTCGACGTCTTTTCTTTTCGGCAACGTAACTCCATGACGTGTTGCCATCTCGTGTCTCCCATTTGATTATCTTAAATGACTTCATATTGGATATGGAACTACCGTTCCACGATTTGCGTGGTGAAGGATCACTTCTATATTTAATTAATGGCTTGATCGTTTTTTCACGTTTTGAAACTGACAGTGAATTTAAATCTGAAACAGACAGTTCATGGAGGACAACCGATACTCACGTGTCATACTGGTCCAGGGCTCAACATGAGACAGTACAAATATTGGTGACAAATATTTCGTAATATTTAGTAGAGCTCCTTGTGAAAGAGTTCGTCCAGGGAAGTACTACCATCTTACCTATTTCTGCCGCCAAGAAGTAAACTACTTGAAGGGTAAGGGTACTGGTGAAATAATAGGCGCTTTGGGACTTTTCAACTTATGTCTCAGGGTGATGGGCGCAGTGGCGCTGCGTCTGGGATCTTTGAGATTTAAGGCTCTGAGTGGCACTGCAACTAAATAGGGCACACTATAAGTTTCCGGAACTGGCCACTTACATAAAGAATATTTGAAAAGTAATTTGATAATTTGAAAATGGAACTCTTTGGCTGTAGAATACAGTTTGTTTCATCTGACTGTCACTTGTTTTTACATGGTGGCGTCATTTTAGAAATTAGTTGTCTACATCACCATGGATTTAACTCGTGAAAATTTTGGTAGTATGATTTTCTACGACTTTAAGTGTAATTTAACAGCTCAGCGGAGCTTCGCTCGGCTTCAAAACTGCTTTTGACGATGAAGCACCATGCAAGACGACTATTTATAGCTGGTTTGCAGAATTAAAACGCGGTCGTGCGAATCTCAGTGACGGATTTCGTCATCGTCGCCCGTCCACTGCTGTGAACAACAAAAACATTGATGCTGTGCGCCGTGTGATCAAAACAGACAGACATGTGACATACCATGAGATTCGGACATCTTTAGGCATAGGTATGAGTCAAGTACAATCAACACTACACAAACATTTGGGTGTCAAAAAGCAGTGCTCTCCGTGGATCCCACACAATTGGACTAAGGCTCAAAAAAACGGATTGCATCACTTGGTGTAATGCTATGCTTACCAGATTCAGCGAAGGGGCGTCAAATTTGGTGTGGGACATAGAAACAAGTGACGAAACATGGATTTATAGTTACGATCCCAAAACAAAGCAGCAATTGAGCGTATGGGTCTTTCGAGATTAGCCGAAACTTCCCGACCTTGGACCTGGTGACTTTTATTTATTCCCAAAAATGAAGAACCAGTTACGCGGTCAACGATTTTCATCATCTGAAGAGGCTGTCGAAGAGTGTGAAAAATATGTTTCAGAGATTGTCACGCAGGAGTGGCATAAATGTTTTCAAAATTGGTTCATTCGTATGAAAAAGTGCATTAAAGCTAACGGAGAATATGTTGAGAACAATAAATTCATTTCTGACCATTTATAGTATTTTTTTCTTATTCATTGCGGAAACTTATATTGCGCCTCACGTATTATTGACATTCGTATCGGTTACCAACAAGCCCACGACTTGTTCGTCCCGTAAGTATCATAAAAGCGCACGCCATAATTAGCTTGTGTTTCTTTAAAATATATATATACCTAGACGTGAATAGGTTTAGTTTTCTGAACATCCAAGAGTGTATTAAGGGAGAAAAATACCTTTGTAAAATGTTGAACCCGCTGAACGAACAAGTCTATGGTATGGGAAACTGGAATTAGGGTCAACGTGCGTTTTCAGTCCATGACTGACGAAAAATTTAATGGTTTTTAATTTGATTTGAGAGCGGCGGCGGGAGAATCCTTGTGGGAAAACGATTGCTTTTTGATTGAGAGGTCGATACTTCAAATCCCTGTGGCGGCATGTACCTTAGTTAGGAACATTTGTGAATGTTTAGTAGCAATACCTATTGATTGATAATCGTGAAGAAAACCTGCATATCGAAGAAGGTTCACAACCTATAAAAAACAAAGCAGTGGAATGTTTAATGTGTTGATTATATAAAATACATATAATCAAATTACAACTAATGATAGTTAACTAAGTCACTGATTACTTAATGGTTACTACGTAGCAGATATATCACTACATATAAAATCGAAAATACCTACGCTATATAATAGCCTACTAAATCCGGCTAATGACATCTGGCGCTCACTACGAGAAAAAGGAACCTAAACACGCGCTCAGAGAGAAGAAAATAACGTTGTCCGCCATGAGCAGTCGTGCGGAACCGAATGCTGGGGTTGTAATGTAAATAAAACATTTGGCGATACACTCAGCGGTAGGCACTCGTCGCTTAACCTCGAGCGAGTGACGGAACCTTGACCAAGCTCTTAATATAACTTACCTTTCCTTAAACATTGAGGACTGACAGAAGCACCATTGATGTTTCGAATCGATGTCTGTGTCTCATCTATAAAATAATAGTCAAATACAATAAAATATATTTGATTTAACAAAGAAATACAAATACAAAGATATAATAGGGGTTAAAGTATGAAATTGCCGATTTGTACTGAAAATCTAAATTGTTTATTTTTTAAATTTTTAACAAATTTATTTAATCAAAATAGTTGCCATTATTATCTATACATTGCTGCCATCTAATGGGAAGGTTATTAATGCCTTTGCGATAGAACTCCGACGATCTAGACTGCACAAACTGTGTGAAAGCATTTTGTACTGCCTCCTGGGAAGAAAACTTCTTGTCACGTAGATAATTGTCCAAATCACGAAAAAAATGGTAGTCCGTTGGAGCAAGGTCTGGTGAATACGGAGGATGACGAATGGTTTCTAACTGCAGTTCCTGAAGGGTCAAAATGGTTTCTCGTGCTGTGTGAGGTCTCGCGTTGTCGTGGAGCAATAATGGTGAAGATCGATTCATGAGTCGGGGCTGTTTTACTGCTAGTTTTGTCAACATGGTTCGGAGTTCGGCACAATAGACATCTGCCGTTATTGCTTGACCAGATCGGAGAAAACTATAGTGAATAACACCATGCTGAGACCACCAAACAGTTACCATTACCTTTTTATTGGTAAGTTTTGCTTTAGGACACTGTTGTGGCATTTGACCTGGGGTCAGCCATTGCATTTTTCTTTTCGGGTTATCATAAAGAATCCACTTTTCATCACATGTTACAATTCGATCCAATATTCCTTCATTTCTGTACCGGTTCAACAAGGCAACACAAGTTTCAACACGCGTTTCTTTCTGCAGATCAGTCAAATCATGAGGCACCCATTTTTCGTATTTTTTTATTTTATTGATTTGACGCAAGTGAGTCAATATTGTGGGTAAGGTAACGTTAAACCATGCCGCTAATTCCTGGGTAGTTTGACTAGGATCGGCTTCCACTATCTCTCTTAATTCATCGTTATTCACCTGTGTGGGCGGTCTTCCTCGTGGCTCGTTCTTTAAGTCGAAATTTCCATCACGAAAGCGTTTAAACCAAAATCGCACGGTGCGTTCATTAGTAGACCCCTCTCCAAACGCAGCATTGATATTGCGGGCTGTTTCTGCCGCGTTAGTTCCGCGTCGGAACTCGTATTCAAAAATCACTCGAATTTTCGCAGTATCCATCTTTCTTGTCTAAATTGAATAACAAAAACAATTGAAAGTCGATATTCAAATGTTTCAAATTTAAAAAAAAAAATCACAGAAACCATTTGAAAAAAGTTTCATTCGAAAACCTCAAACCATGAAGATTCTATGAAAATTCAAAGAACCTATTGCAATAAAACGGCAATTTCATACTTTAACCCCTAATATAACCAAAAAATATCAAAACGTATTGAAAGAAATGCATTTCTGTAAAGAGAATGACAAAATGAAATGGGAAATTGGTTGAAGCGTACCTGTCCTGGCTATATTACTAAGCAGTGAGAGCAATCGCAATGATGTTATAACTGCTGCTGATCTTTGATCCCTTTTTGATGCAGAATGAGTTACTAAAAATAGAATTATTATTTCCGATTGTGTCGTTTAACTCTAATATAGTAGATAATAAAAAATAATAACACGTAAAAATATATTCAAGAATAAAGAGCTTGCTTTTCCACCAGGGAAGCGAGACGAGGATTGAAATTTGCATGGTGAAATTTCAATTCTCTCCTAGCCACTCACGCGATACATGCAGCCGTAGACGCATACCACACCTAGAGGTGCCGGTGATGATTTTATACCGGTTTATCGGATATCGAAGTTATAACAAGTAAAAGAACTAATATTAATTGCTATTTCGGTAACTACTCTAGCAAACCATAAAGTTTTTAATGCCTGGGTCTGTCATTTAAAAAAAACAAACAACTTCAAAAATACGTCACGATAATCGTGTGTGTTATTGTTTGGGCTGGTGATTTCGGTGTTTATTTATTGAAAACATACCGTAAGTAGCGTTTTTTAAGTTTATAAACTATACTTTAAGGAGTAATATCATGGTAAACGTTAGAACCACTCAAACGGAATATTATCATATTTATCCAAGTACACCAAAAATTTCATTAGTGCTTTTTAAGTGCAGGATTTGCGGTGTGTTACTGCATTTTATTTGAGATGTTTTTGTTGGTAGTACGGAGGGTATTTATTTAGCAATGTAGAATAATAATTTATAAATTTAATAATTTTAATTTTAATAATTTATAAAAACTTGTATTTAAACTGAATGCTTTTCTAATTTGCGAAACCAAATAGCCGCCATTTTGCGGTAGGAGGAGCACATCGCGTGAGCGGCTAACGCATCGTTGGTGGAAATGGTCTGGATTGATAAGAATGGGTGAAACGAGAGTTGAATATTTGTTGATGTAATATGAAACCGTATTGCTGCCTACATAAAATATTACACTCTGTAACGGAAATATGATTTCTTGCGCGAGCTTGCGATGGCTATTAATGCCAATCACGAGATTGTGGGGCGTATAACTTAAGATTAAAAAATATATGAGTTCATCTGATTCTTACGGACGAAGAATCTCGTAAATTATTATTATAAATAATAATAATACGTGTTCTTTCAGCCGCATGTTTATCGCTAAACGAACTGTAGGGCACTGAATCTTTACTATCTACAACCACAGCGGTAGCTCGCGTTGGTGGAAATAGGCCGGCGAGATTGCAATGGAAAACCACGTTTATATCGGTACGGTATGGCAACTACATAGTCTCGCCAGACTAACTGTATATGACGTTATTGTCGACTTGTATTGACTGAGCACATAACAACTATTTTCTTATTATGTCTCGGCAATGTTCGGATTTCGGCTATCGTCGGGTATCTAATAGTTGACCTTTGCACTTGCTGCAAACCGAACGCACTCAATCGACTTGGCAGTATACGGAGTACATTTTGGTCATATTTTTGGTAACTTATTATAAATAGGAAAATCGTTTCTTAGCTCACATGGAAATCAAAACATAACAACAAAAAAGCACACAGTTCCGTAAACGAAATTATTATGGATGATAAATCTAATAATTACGAGACGTAGAAATTTGTATTCAAGTGCATTCGAAAATACGAAGATTGCTGAAAGATATTAAGGAAATAGTTGTACTGTAATTTTACTCAGCTTCCAAAAACACACATTCTCTACAGATACATAGAGTTTTATGCTGCATAATGAAGGAAAAGTCACGCTGAATTACGATACATTTAGTGAGGACGGAAGAAAGTTACAGGAAATATATACACGAGAACTGATCGTAGACAGATGAATTATAAAAGTGAATAAATAATTACGTTACACAAAAATTACGTTTCACGTCGTTATTTTTCTCATAGCTCATTGATAGAAAACACACACACTGAAATTTACGTCACACACTGAAAAATTGCCAACTGCAGTGTGACAAGTGTGACAACAATTGCAAATTTTCTACCAAGAGAATCACAACAATGGACAATAAAAAGGATTTCTTTGAAAAATACGTTCAAGTTCGGAACGTTAACAAACTAATACATTACATTACATTACATTTTATCGGGACCAAAAAAGTGGCTTACCAATGTTCTTGAAAATATAAGGAACTGTTTGCGCCGCCGCATCCTCGTTTACAATTGATTGCTGGAATGCAAGTACAGTGCGAACTGGAAGTTCATAACAGAGTTATTGAGAATTTGAAACTATGGAATGAGTACAACAAATAACAGCCTATCCAATAAAATGATAATGACAACGATAGTGAAGTGTGCAAACTTTAATCTAATAACAAATCGAATGCTAAGTTAAGGTAATTTCGAAATATAGAAAACTAATCTATTTATGGATATAAATGATGTGAAGTAACCAATTATACATGAAATATAAAGAGATGAACCCAAAAACATTCATTTGTAAGCTAAAATCAGTAGTCATTGTCACTGAAATCAGAGCTTACGTATAATGTTATGTTATGAAAGTTGTCGGGCTAATGATGATAATGAAGTAAATAAAACACTTGCATCTCTTAAACCGCGGGTTGGGTCTACAATAATAGCGCGAGGGATTCGACCATCTGCAGCGGCTCAGTCGGGCTGTGGTTTTGTTCCACATGCTGTTCCAACGAAGGCGACATATCTTTTGAATCCTACGAAGTTTGTCCCCTTTCGCTTCTGTTAACCCTTCAACAGTCACAACATCATAATTGTTGCTGGAGTTATAATGGACATAATACAACAAACAGTTTGTCATAAAAAAAAACTAGGTTTAATGCCCTTAAGAAGGGAGTCTAATTATAAAAATTGTATATGTGATGGTAGTTCTTTAGTCTTACCTCTACGGTGGTTGCGTAATCGGTCCGACTTTATACTTTTTTTGGGATTTGTTACGACGTAAGTAGTGTTTCTTGAACCCGAATTAGAGCCTAAAATATATATAATAATTTGTAAAGAAATTTCTAAAAGTCATCATTTTTTAGTCTTCTTTCTACATGTTTTACAATCATTGCATGGGCTAATATATCGATTGCTATTCATTGACTTACAATTATATGGACGTCGGGTCCGCGCTAAAAAGTGTCCGCACTTGTAAGGCGCTAAAATCGTATACAGAGCGCGACACTCCGCTTTAGTCTTCATTTGTTCGACTGACAGCGCGATACTGCGATGACATTACAATTTAAATTTCGAATAGGTTGACTTAGGACATTTTTTTCGTGGTTTTTGTATTAGACCCGTCGTCCATTTATTTGTAAGTCAATGTTGCTATTGAATAAACTCACAGTGGTGCATACCTTCTTGAGTCAAAGGGACGGTTATTCCCTGGTAGTCATAATACGGGTGTCTCCAAGCTTCAGGTTGTAGGGAAGTATGAGACACCCTCACAGGGCTGAGTATGCATGACCCCTGTGTATTGTTATAACGAGAGTCATCCATAAAATCATCCGGATGTTCCAATGTACACTGGCTTAAGTCGTCACGGCTCTCTAAATCTGTTACGTCTAAGCTGAGGGTGTGTTGCGACAGGTATGCTGTAGAAAAGATGGTGATAAAGTATTTGGAGTATAATGAAAAAATATATTTTTCAAAATGGCAGTGTTGTCCTTGTTTACTGATAGGACTAATCTGTGTGTATATCTGTGTGTGTATCTGTCTAATATCTGTGTGTGACAGAGCAAACGTTTCAGGATTCTTTTCTTACCATCAGCTGTCTCCATATTAGTGACTTTCTGTAAAACTTCCGAAGGGCAGAAAACGTATGATGCTACCGTCCGAGTGCTGTTAGATGCATCATTTTGAATTTCACAAGTACATTGAGAAGATTTGCAGAAGTCTGTAATGGATGCAAATTAATAAATCGCCGCTATCACATTTATAATGTATTTTTCCACGATATTAAGTGACGGGACGAACAAGTCATGCACCTGATCGTCGCCTGTCCATAACAGTTGCAGTGCCACTCAAAGCTTTAAATCGCAGAGATCTGAGGTGCACTGCCTCTGCGCCCATTGAGACATAAGTCGAAAAGTCCCATGTGCCTGGAATTTCACCAACATCCTTATCCTTCAAAACCGGAACGCTTTTGAAGGTCACGTTACTGCTTGGCGGCAGAAATAGATAAGGTGGCAGTACTTCCCTGGATGAGCTCTTACCGTATTCTCAACAATAAGAGCTGCAGACATAAAATATTCTTAAGATATATCAACAAGTCTCTGCCCGATACTAGTTAGTAGCCTTTGACTTGGTGAGAGAAAAGCTCTCTCTTGTGAAGTCGAAGCTCCAAAACTGCCTGCTTGACAGGAACTTTTTAATTTAGTTCCACCCTCACCGTTCCTCCTTCGGTCAACTATAAACACTCTTATGTCGTTGACATTCCACCCGTTGATCCTTCCTAACGCGTACCACAAAGAAATGGAATTCGGAATCCGTCTACCGGAATCTGTGGTTCCCCAAAAAGTATAATTTAGGGTTAGAGTGAATAGGCATTTTTAAGCAAACGCAGTCATATCACCATTTAACATCAGGTGTTATAATAGCCTAGTCTATTAATTACATTATGTCAGTTATCATATTCCTTTCACTATAGAATTAGTTTTGATTCGTCTTCACTCTCCGTTTTTACGAAATCAAAATTTCTTAAGTTTTAAATATGTTAATCCGTAATACCATATTAGTAATTTATACATATCAGTATAGAGAATCTAATGAATAATAATATAAATGATTCTCTTGGAGGTCCTTCCGATGAAAGACGATAATGAATTGAAGGTCCATTATGAAATTTACTTTGCACCAAAACGTATGTAATAAATAGAATTTTACTGTGATAGCCTTTATTACCTTCTTCAATTTTGTCATCCATTTTTGGTTGATCATCTGTTTTATGGTGATTCTTCGTTTCAGGTTGTTCATTGGCTTCAAGTTTACCATCTGTTTCATGATGATTGTCTGTCTCAAATCGATCATTTGTGTCCACTTGAGAGTTGAGACCAATAGTAAATTCGGCAAATAATTTCTTCTTTTTCACCCATGACTTTTTTAGCAGCTCTTTGTGTGCTGGGGGTGACATAAAATTCGGCATTTGTTTTATTGTCACTGTAGTTAAAAGGAGATACATATCAACCAACTTATGAGTTCTGGCATATATGCGGAATTTCTGGCAATCCAGTTGATTCCACGTGTATTCAACGTAATTGTTTCCTATTGTTGTCTCATCCCTTGTATGTTTGTCGACCTGTATCAATATGTTTAACGGCTCTATTGTGTTATAGATTGTTACCGGTAGCATAATTTTAATTGACAAATTTGGTGGTGCAACGGCTAGCATTATGAGTGCTTGATGGCTAGAATCCGGGCTCGATTCCCGGAATTTTTCAAAATTGGATCAAGTTTGGGTGTTTTTGGTGGGTGCCCTGGAATTTCATTCATCCGGTACTCGAAGCACAAGATATTCCATGAAAAAAGACCATGTAATAGTTGTGGTGTTTTGGACTTCATTTACATCGAATACATTACTTTGAACTCATTTTTATTAGATATACTCACGTTTAAAGTCAGAGATTTGGAATATGAGCTACGGATTGAAGACGAGACCATATAAGCCAATAAAATTTTCATGAGATAGCTTAGCTGTAAGTCGCCTGTACTCTACGTCATTGTTTCAGCATCTATCGTTGCATGAAATTATACAGTAATAGAGTCCCAGCAACATGTTAAAATCGCAGAACAAATATCTCATCACCACAGGTTATATATCTCAGTAGTCATGAATCTAATCGTGCTCGGGTAAGTTTCTGCTTCTATATGTGACTGTGGTGTGTCAGAATCTAGTTACCTTCATTAATTTTATTTAAGTCATATAGTCGTGAAAGCTAGTATGAATCGGTAACGCGTAACTAACGTAACTAACTAATACTAAACTAGACTAACTAATAGTCGGCTTAATCTTAATAGAGAGCACAAAATATCTGTAACATTTATATGGTATCTTAACATATCTTAACATTATTATGGTATCTTATTTTGGGGTAATAGTAGCAACATAATACAAGTTTTTCGAGCTCAAAAGAGGTGCATAAGGACAGTATGTGGACTGAAACAGACTGACAGTTGCAGAGACTATTTTCGAGAACTAAAAATTTTGACCTTGCCTTCATTATATATCTATGAAACAGCCTTATTTATACGACGACACCCACAACTTTTTCCTGTAGTTACAAGAGCACGACGTCCTAACCAACTACGCCAAATAAATTGTAAAACGTCACTATTTGAGAAGAGTATAATTGCAATGGCACCAAAAATCTATAATGAATTGCCATTACAGGTAAGGCAGAACGAAAATTTCGCGGAATTTAAACGCACATTATTTGAGTATTTAATTGAAAAATCATTTTATACATTAAAGGAATTTTGCTAACTAATTTCACATTAATTTTATTATTGAGACGCACGTGACTGTATGACATTGATTTATTTACATTGATTATTATCTTAATTAAATTACTTTTGTTTTGATGTCCTAACTGTTGTAGATTTTAAGACTTGGTCCTGTGAAGGTGGAAGCCTATAATCAGTGGTTTATGACTATTTAATGATAATTATTAGTGTTATTTTATTATTATTATTATTATTTGGAAGTATTGGACAAGTATAATTAATAATAATAGTATAATTCGTATGCCTTGATGGTACGTCATGGCGACCATAAAATAAATGTTATCATCTTTATTGTACCCATGATGACGAATAAAATGATTTGATTTGATTTGATTTAACTCGGTCGTCTTTGTTTTCTTTGGAGTCAGTTCGTAATATAACCCAATACATACAATAATATCTATTTATCTATATAAATAAATAAAAGTTAGCATGGGCGTTAGCAAAAATTTTTTTCGGTTAGTTGCGGTTGTCAGTTGCAAAATGGCTTGACTCATCTGACACTAATGTTCCTTACTAGGGTTTGTCAAAGTCAAATCTTCATTTCATAGGTAAGTAAATTACACTTGAAATCATAATGACTAAATTCTACTGCTCATTCGTAAAGCAGATTCCACCAAAATCGTATATAATAAGTTTTTGAGACTTCTAGTATCTTAATCATATTTGATCCGGCCTTCTTAAAAGAAACAAGATCGTTAAACGACCTAAGAAAAACCAAGCAATTGATCTTTTTCTCAGAAAGTATATTTTTTCTAAAATCTGAAGTTAACTCTTGTAGTTGATAGTGGTCTCTTGAGAGCGTTTTCCATTTAGCTTGTAACTACCTACAGCAGATCGAGTGGTTTAGTATTTCATTTAAAATATCCATAAATTGTTACCAACTTAAATTACCAAATAAAAAAACAGGTTCCAGGGGGTCTACTCTCGATTTCCGTCCGAAACAATTACTGCCAAATAAGCAATACTTGACCAAATGAAAAGACGCGTGATGCGAATGAAGTTTCATACTGGATACTTGTCTTTTAATTTTGTCGAATATTAGGTACTTATTTGACAGTAATTGTTTCGGAGGAATGTCGGATGGGGATCGAGAGTAGTTCCCCAGGTAGCGCCCCAAAATGAACTCCGTTGCTGTAGTACTCATGATATAGGGAATTTCCCTACTTTGAGCCTAGTAATTGATCTGGTTCTTTATTATTATTATTAAAATAGTAAACTCAAAAAAATAATTTATTCGAAAAAAAAAAATCTACACCATAGAATTCATTATCCAATAAAAAGAATTGCTTCGGGGTTAAAACATGCTTGTTTTTCTACAGGGCACATATTTATTAATATGCAAAATGCCGTATGTCATTAAACTGTGAAAGTGCTGAAGTAAACCAATCTAGCTATTTCGACGTCTGAAAGTTTTCGTATTTTTTTTATCGCGAACGCTGCAGAGCTGAGCCATTTTTATAACTTATTTATCATGTAGACCCCATTGCAATTTAGCATCTAAAGTTATACCTAGTTTCATCTATGTCCGTCTGGCTAACAGTGGGTAATGTAAATTTCACACAATTTGTTTTGTTCTCATTGAGGAGCAGGTTGCAAACCAATCTACTGCTTTGTCTTTTAATGAATTAATAGTGTTACAAATTTTATTAGACAAAAGTGATTAAAATATTTCTAATTCTCTTAATTTGTATCTGACTTTGGAAGTGACATTAGTTTTTTGGTTCAAAATTTTATAGTAAATAAACTTTACAGACTCATGACTCAACATCAGACTTGTAAAGAGCCTATAAACTATTCTTTCGGAACGCAATTTCTTCATAAGAGGGTCGTGTCAACAAGCATTGTATCATGGTTGAGATAAATGGAAGATACATCATCCAACCGACAGACGCTATTAGTGCCAACGTCACCTGTGCTCATTTCCATGACAGTTGATTTGAGATCCAGGGTCTTCACTGAATTTGATGAAGATAATGTGTTGACGACGTTAAAGTCTCCGACATTTGCGGTTTCTGACTCCTTAGATATTTGGTCTCGTAGACGTGTAGACAGCGAGGGTCGACCTAGAATGGAATTTTCAGGAATAAATATTAACAGCAGCAGTTGTCACGCTTGTTAGGTATAGGATTTTCATTGCGGGTATCTCGGTCTCCAACATTTCGCGAGTTTCGACGATTTTTTGGGCTTATCGCGACTGGTGACTGATGTTTTCAGTCTTAGGGCGCCTTTAAATTACACGCTTGTAGAAGCGATGCAGTGGTGCCGTTGTGGTTACTAATATTCGAACAATTTCGAATCACAACACTGTCGTGAACGCGCGCGGTACTTTTGCGTCACAATTAGTGAAGACAAATTACCGAAGTGCTACAGACGCGCGGCTGCCACGCCGTAGTTGCGCCACTTTACTGTAACAGTAACTATAGAGGTTCTACAAGGTTTAATTTCAAGGTGCCCCAATATCAAGACTTTTGAGACTTATCCGCTCACGCGATGCGCTCCTCCTACCGCAAAATGGCGGCTATTTGGTTTCGCTAATTAGAAAAGCATTCAGTTTAAATACAAGTTTTTACAAATAAAAATCATTATTCTCATTGCTAAATAAATACCCTCCGCACTACCAACAAAAACATCTCAAATGAAATGCAGTAATACACCGCAAATCCTGCACTTAAAAAGCACTAATGAAATTTTTGGTGTACTTGGAATGAATTTTTGGTGTAATATTCCGTTTGAGTGGTTCTAACGTTTACCACGAAATTACTCCTTAAAGTATAGTTTATAAACATTTATATTCAGGGTAAATTTAAAAAACGCTACTTATGGTATGTTTTCAATAAATAAACACCGAAATCACCAGCCCAAACAATAACACACACGATTGTCGTGACGTATTTTTGAAGTTGTTTATTTTTTAAATGACAGACCCAGGCATTAAAAACTTTATGGTTTGCTAGAGTAGTTACCGAAATAGCAATTAATATTAGTTCTTTTACCTGTTATAATTTCGATATCCGATAAATCGGTATAAAATCATCACCGGCACCTCTAGGTGTGGTATGCGTCTACGGCTGCATGTATCGCGTGAGCGGATATGAGCCCATGCACACACATTTTATACGCACCGATTACAATCACAAAAATATAATGACGACAGCATAAAAAAAATCTTTTCAGACAGATTTCAATATAAGGCTAAGAAGTAGCGCCCTCTATTATTAAAAGTGAGTATCATGTTTACCGACAGACATTACCAGCAGTCACAATTATGGAATTAAAAGTGCTTTTTTGTATTGTGTCTTCAATAAAAGCAAAATGAAAACTCTTCGAATAAACGTTTCACAAAGCTGTTCTACATTTCAGTGGACTGGCTAATGTAATGGAATTTTCAGACGATTAACGTTAACGAAAAAAATATGTGTTTTAAACAAAATGAGTAATAATTTTACATTTATTCAAAAAAATCTTTACACTTTCCAGAGGAACAGTTTAGAAGTTTAAAGCAGTAAGTTTGTTTCTGCATTTTGTTCTTATTTACAATGTAAAATCGATTATCACTTTACATTTGTAAGATGATCGGACTATTTTCCGGTCTAACCCAAAAGGAAACTAAACTCCTTTCGAAACTAACCTGCTCTCTGTTTTTGCTTTTATACTTTTTATAGTATTTTTTTCACTTACTCAATCTCTTGTTGTCTCTCTCATACTGAGAATTAGCGACCGGCATTGCTTCGGAAGTGTCACGATTCGCTAGCTGGTTTTCAATGTTTCTTAAATTCTTCGAGAAGTCGTCTTCCACACATTCTGCATAAAACAACATATATTATTAACATAAAGGAAGACTTATGATAACCCAGACGGAGAGCTGTAATCTCAAATGGGAGATCGATGGTTCGCGTCCCTGTGGCGAAAAAAATACCTGCGATTTTTATGACTACGTTACGTATGCTTGTGAATGTTTAGTAGCAATACTTCTCAGTAACGGTAAAAGCCGAAGAAGGTTCTCATCCCTTGCAATACGAATGAAGTTCCCAACCTGCATTAGGCCAGCTTAGTGTATTATGGCCGAGATTTTCTACTTAGACGAGATTCGTGCCCAGCAGTGGACGTCTAATGGGTGGATGATGTTGATGTTGTCTAAGCACAAGGGCAAAATTAAGTAAATATAGATTGAATTCAGCCTAGCTTCAGTAAGAACCCAAAGAGCCCGGAGGAAGTATATACCGAATTACGTTTAACGACAGTCAAGATAGTTTAAAGATCTTGGATCCCTATTGGAATGAAAAGATGCAGTGAGTAAACGATCTCAAAGTTATGAATCTTTTTTCAGAAACTTGTGTAATTCAATATGTTTTCGAAAGACTGTCCTTTACAGTTGTTGAACACAATGATGGTGGATCGTACCTGCTTGCACAATCGTATCACCGCTATGGACGAATGAATTGGCCGGCGCCTGCAAGTAGTCCTCGATGGATTCTCTGTACCATTCTGAAAATGACGAAAATGTTAGATCAATTGATAATGTACATTTTAATTAAGATGTCTTAACTTTGATTTTGCTTCACGTCATATTGCAGGGTTTCAAAGTTGATGTCAATCTATAATAACTTTTTAGATATTACTCGACACATTGAGCAATACCTAATAATTATTAACAAATTTATAATACTAATAATAATTCTTTATTGACACGTATATTAAATACAATAAAGAAACAAGAGCATTAAAATAATGGTCATAAAAAAACAATACAAGCACGCGCCTATAAAATTGTAATATCCTGTCATTTCTTATTTCCATCACGAGTCACGGAAATCCAGTATTTAAAAAAGGAATTGTGCATGTGCTCACAGAGAGTACGGAGAATTCCGTAGTCAGACGCATGGAGACGGCTCCAAAAGCTGGCGACGCGAGACCCTATTATTGCGAAAAAGTCAGGAACTCCGGCCTCGGAAAACATGCTCGATGCGCTGCAGAATCTCGGCTGATTCATTAGAATACGATATGAATCATTATAGGTACTGCACTCTAGTGATGCTCATCGCGCGTTTCGAAAACTCCTCCAGAGTTGACATGTATAGAAGCATAAACAATATAGAGAACGTAGATAAAGAACGTCACTCTGACATCACTACTACACCGCGCGAATCTGCGCGCGAGCATGATGCACCAAACGGCTAGAGCCCAGCGCTCTCATTCTATGTCGTCATCATCAACTAGACTCTCCGTCAGCACATATCCAACGTATTTGAACTTATCCACCCTCTCCAATTGCGCACCATCTAAAAACATTTACGATAACAGTTAAAAGTAGGTCTTCTGGTCTTTATACAGCCATCTTTGGCGTTTCTGATTGTCAAGTTTTATTGAATTTTTTAATATGTGATAAATGACACGCTGAACCATAACAGTGGCAGTGCCACTCAGAGCTTTCTATCGCAAAGATCTAAGGGGCACTGTTAGCGCGTTCGTCACCCTGAGATATAAAATTGACAAGTCCCATGTGACTGCAGTTTCACCAGCACCTTTGCCCTTCAAACGGAATGGAATAATGCTCACATTGTTGCTTCCTACTCTTACTCTTAAACACGTGTCATCAAGTCTTACCATTGATTCGATTACTCCGTTCATTTCTTCGATAAATGGAACCTAAAGTAGGTATTGGCTTCGCTGCGTTTATATTCAGAGTCCTTGGCACTTCTGAGAAATCTGTAACAACTCTTAAGAGGTACTACATTACACTTCAAATTTGCTCAACAGTGGCCTGGACAAGATTTCTTTAGAAAGCAGAAAGTAACATTAAAAGCAGATATTTAAAGATTGGAACCTTGAACAATCGGCAAAATTGGAAATGAAACTAGTTTTCTTTTGGATTTGATTGGAAACCAACATTTTGAGCTTTTCACTGGTCCCACGGTTCCGACTACTGAGATGGTAAAGTCAAATGTCTAATACTAATGCAAACTTTTAACCTATTAGAGACTTACTTACAAAAGATATAAATGTAAACACCTTATTTTTAATAGACCAAAGAATATTCCAATTTACGCTACATATGATTTGCGATATAATTTATTTTGTCATTACGATTTTTTTTAATTTAAATTAATTATTTATTTAAAAATAAATTAACAATAAGATAAAACATATAATGAGTAGTACGCAATTTAGTTACGATAAACTAGTTTCATTTCCAATGTGTCGAAATCGCGAAAAACTAAGACATAGATATGACAAATTGTTTTATGTATCTGTATTCGTGTTCTTTATAAATCAAATCAAATCAAAAAATCATTTATTCAGACAACTACAGTCCATATTTTACAGTTAATTCAATAAGTTTACACACATTAAAATAAACAAAAGGCTACTTAAAAACATAGAATAATTAAACAAATTAAATTAAATATCAAATAAGTCATCGGCATGGTTTTAAATGCAGTTTCATGCAATGTAGCATGATCGGGCAATCCACTCTACCAGCCACAACGCGCAGAATCTCATTCGTGCCGCAACGGATACGACTTATTAATGAGGCAGCTCTCTTTCTAAGGATGGCATGGAAACCATCCGTGTGGGCATCAATTATAAACCTTACATTTATAAATGTAAGGTTATGTCAGCTTTTATGTTTATCTATTAGAGTTGTTTAAAGTTACTGCACCTTACCAGGATGGACTTTGACGATCTGTAATCTCTGAATAGTATTTTTTCCCGGCACTATTCGATTGGGATCTTGTCTCTTCAGCAAAACATCCTTACTAGGAATTTGACTGTGTCTTAGCTCCTGTGATTTACCTGTGTAGGATCAAATATATGCCCTGTAGAACGCGTGACTGTTAAATATCAAACCATTGAAACATTTTGGACCGCGGTAAGGGTTTCTATTACATGCGTGTTAGGATTGCTACGGGGTGTTATTTTGCTTTACTAGCGATGGCACCGAGAAATATCCTACATGCTACGAAGGTTAATAACTCGAATTGGCCAACGCTTATCGTGGTAGAATATCCACTGCTTATAGAAACGTGACTAATGTGATATATGGATTGAAATATCGAAAAAAATATCATATATGCATTGACTTACGTCCATATAATTATATGGACGTCGGGTCCGCGCTAAAAAGTGTCCGAACTTATAGGGCGTTAAAATCGTATACAGAGCGTCATTCACGCTTTAGTCTTAATTTGTTCGACTGACAGTGAAGCAAGCAAAATTAGATAGTACTGCGACGACATTACAATTTATATTCAACGTTTTAGCTTTTTCATATTCTTTTACATGTCACTACGTTTAAATAGGTTGACTTGGGACATTTTTTTCGTGGTTTTTGTATTAGACCCGTCGTCTATTTATTTGTAAGTCAATGCATATATGGTATTTTTAACGCAAAAACAGGGAAGTTTAAAAACGGTTACACACGGCGACGTATAGCTGCGATGTAAACGTGATGCAAACGCGATACACTTTACTAATTTATTTATTTAATGTGTTTATTAATTTCACTTTTAAATTTACAATTTCAGTCCGAACACGGCCCATTAAACGAATTTTTATAATTGATGCGGAGGGTGAACTCACCGAATTGAGATGTGGGATTCCTGTGGATGTACCTACATCATTTTTTGTTCATATATATATACAACAACTCGAACTACTAAACTACTTTTTTTATACATGACAGGCAAATGACTCCACTCCACCTGATGTTAAGTGGAAAGTGGTATCCAAACGCGTAGGAACCTAGTGCAGCGATGAAACCCTCACTGCACTAGCCACCTCCACCCTGCCAGCCTACAATATGCCTCTTCACGCCTCGTTGGAAGGACCCCATATCATAAGAGGGAGGGAAGACATGTGCCGGAATTTAGACATATTGATAGTTAAGCTTAAAGTTGTTTATAAATGTCAAGATTATTGGGTATATTAAGCGAGAAAAAACAATGGCACGGTAATTAGGCTGAGAACACCGAAAGTGCGAATGGCCGATCTATTTGTAATTGATGCTCGACGCTGATATTTGTAGCATTAAGCGAATCGGTTAGAAACGTCGCGGCTCGTGGCCCTCGGGAAAGAGAGAATAGCAGTATCTCACGTTTTCGTCGCACCCTGTCGTACTAGCTCTACTGCTCGTCTCACGCGCTCACCAAATTGGATTCGATGAGGTGTTCTTTTATTAACTTTATTGATTTCTTGGAGTACACTGTTTTGTATCAGGTTTTCTTTTACAATAAATACAGCTACAAGGACACACTTACGGCAGTCATCTTTCTTAATAGTTGGAACTGGCTGTTCATATTTACTTGTTCCACCTTTCCCACCTGGAATATCACTTGCAATATAGATTTTAGATTTTTCGACCAAGGAAAACGAAACCTTACTTTTATCGGACATTCTCGGACTTGTATTCATTTTCTAATTTCCGTGGCAATTTTTATTATTTGAGTATTCGATTTTTTATCGGCCAATATTACTTAATATTCGAGTATTGTATCGTAAAACATTATTTAATAATTACATGATAATATACTTGAATATTTAAATAATAAAAATTACCACGCAATTAGATGGTTAAATAGTAAGAAGTCTGAGAATTACCGTTGCAGTTACAGTTAATTAGGTTCGGTTAATAGATTGGTAAATATGGAGTAGAATTCCCTGCTTGCAAACGTGTTATGGTATAATTTAGGATTGAATGGGCATTATTTAAGATGCACGCCTAAATAATACCCATTCACTGTCTCCTTATTTAGGTATGCATGCTAGCTAGATTGTCCACCTCATCGTCACTTTCCGTCAAGTGAGATGGAGATCAAAAGCGCATTTATTTTTTTATAAAAAAATATAATAATATGCCGATAAATAAATAATACACTTATAAGAAATGTAACAATTTTTGCTGATTTAAATCGCGTATATTTGTTTTTTCAAACAAATCAACGTTTCGGGCACTTTCCTGGTGACCATGGGACCTGTAAGTTTCATTTCCTATGTGTAACAATCGCGAAAACCTAAGAACTCGATAATACACTTATGTCAATTAATTATAAATCGCTATTTCCAAACAAACTACCAATTTGACCCTTTTTTTGACCCATTTGAAATACCCATGGACATACCGTCACGTTTAGTAGAACACTAGTACAATTTCCAAAATAATACAGCTTCTTTTTGAAAAGACGGGTCGGGTATTTTACTTTTTATTTTAGGTTTATTCTGCAATTTGTTAATTTCTTACTAATGTAGGTTTGTCCCGTGGTATAAGGTTGATGTCGAGTTCTTGTAAATTTTGTAATCTTAAGTTGACAATACTTTTTTATTGAATAAACTTTGATTTAAACAATGTTAAACTGTTACTATTGTAAATATTCAGCCATTTTTTTTCGCAATAACAGTTGATTAATCTCTTCATGGCCAGTAACAGCGTCTACCGTGAAATTAAATATTAGAATATGATAGTACGGGTTACTCCGTTTCGCTATATGGATTTCAAAAAAACAGTGCATACAACATCTAAGAAAGCCAAAGTACCACAATTCTCTTGTTCCATAGTTAGATTAGAGAATTGTGGTACTTTAGCTTTCTTAGATGTTTTAATTAAAAGAAATCCTAATAACACCTTAGGCCATACTGTATTTCGAAAGAAAACCCATACAGTGTATACAGTCAGCCAGTACTAAAGATGGTACAATTGTTACTAATTTGTCCCATTAGCATCAGAACATGATGTTACCATTGCTAGCAAGGGCAATTATTGTAATTACTAATTTTGATGTAATATTGATTGTAATATAATAATTAAAATATTTTGATGTAATATGTATCTACTATACTCGAACTAAATTCGACATAGAATATTTAATAACAAAACGTTGCTAGGTAACTAATGATTGCATAGAAAAAGAACATTTTTTTCGATGCTCATTAGGCTAGCTATGCCCGCGACCTGCTCGCGTAATTTGAATTTAAATAGATATGAAGGTAATTGAGAATGCGGTACAAAATAATTAGGTACAACCACAGGGATTGTATAATAAATGAACAATTGAATTTTGCATCATCACCTTTATTACGGGTGATTTCGAGTTTCGACAATGGTAACACTGGGGGTAGCGGGGTATAAATATACCAACCGTTCTGAACGAGCACATTCATTAGTAAGAAATCAACAACCCCTGAGGATGTAGTAGTAGGTAGTTGCGCTTGTGTTATTTTATTAATTTTGTGCGGAGGGAGGGTGGAGAAATTAACTGCATGAAAAAAATATTCAACACAAGCGCAGCTATTTTACTCGATTTACTGGGTTCGCGGAGTAGCAAATTAATTTAATTCCATTTTTACGAAATAGACATGTTTGCAATCTCTCCCTTCAAATAAAAAGTCATTAGGGTTGACAAGTTTTATAAATAATTAATTACTGGTAATGTTTATGTTGGTTTCAAATCACTTAATAGTAATTTGAAACTTCTATTGAATAAAATTCATCGCAGACATGACTTCCACATTATTATCATCAATAGCCTAATTGAATTTCGAAAAAAAATCCCTCACTGAAAATGATGCATTTTATTTCGGTGAAATTACAGGCATATGGGACTTGTCAAGTTACGTCTCAAGGTGACGGGCGCAGTGGCGGTGCCCCTAGATCTTCATGATTTAAACTCTGAGTAACACTGCAACTGTTGTAGACAGGCGTGTGGCTTACTACCAGGTGCACGACTTGTTCGTCTCATCACTTGGTATATAAAAAAAAGTGATGAATATAATCTACTTTTTGTCCTAAATGTGTCTACCTACTATTGATTTGTAGATGAAAAGTGCAAGTTGTAGAACTAGAGTAGTATATAAATGTCGCAACATCAACACTAAAGTGATTACATTCGAAAAGAAACAATTTTGGACAACTGACAAGATCATTAAAAAAAGTACTGTAATAAAAAGTTTTTCATAGAGTTGTGTTCCTTCCGGCTGCTTTGGTCAGAATGTCATTAAGTACTAATCAATGATCGAGTATATAACCAGAAATAGAGACGAAATGTCATTTAATTTGTTTGAAAACTATTCTGACATATCATTACCGTGACAACTGCGCTCCGATTGGCTAGCCCGAGTTCGAAACAATTGACGGGTGTCATCAATGGGCGTCGTCAACTGTTTCACTTCAAATCGACCAGTTAACTGACGAAAATTGCAAAATCACATATTTAATATTTAATTACCAATGAAATGTGATTCCGTTTGTTTTGTAATTAGATGCTTTGCTGTTTTTCCCACACCACCGAATTGAACAGCACGGCATTGTTAGAGATATTATCTTTATTACAATAAATACAGAATATTTTTTGGAATATACGGAGACGTATACAGGTCAGTAGTTGGCCTGTCTATATTTCAGTGCAAACGAGAGTTGATATTTATAAGAGATGTATCGCTAACGTGTTACCAGGAATATACGGTCTTTATTTCGTCTCTATTTCCGGTTATATACTTGATGCTCAAAAAATACTTTTCGAATCGTCACTTTCATTGTAGAGGGTGCGGTGTGAGCCTCTAAAAGCAAGGCCGCCCAAGCAATTTTTAGAGTAAGTTATAACTCAAGTCCATTGGTTCCCTGCGGGCCATCAAGTAAGTGTACGATCAATAGACGTCACGTTGCTATTGAAAGGTAAAATGCGCTGGCGGATCACTAAGTGATTTGCGATGCCGAGAATGGGCATCCTTACTTTAAGGGTGTCACCACACTTATTAACCGTCTTGAGCCGGTTAAGAGTCCATACAACTTCAAATGCCTTTAATTGATCCCGCATAACAGTGAAAGTGTTGAATGAACCATTTTGGAAAAATATATATAGTAAAGTATATATCTACACTGTGTGTATAAGTTTTCTTTAAATAAAAAAACATAAGAAAACCGCTGTTCAATAGGTAGATAAAAAAATCTATTCTGAAATAAAGCCAGTGTCCCTGCTGCTCGACTTAAGCAAAGTGAACCGTATTAGTACGGGAATAATATAAATTCGAGCTGAGGTAGTATCGATTCTTAAAAAATCTTCAATAAACTAAACTACGTTGCGCAACGTCTCTTTAGAAATAGACATACATACAAGGTTTCATTCGATTTCGTGTCGATAAGTGTGGCAAAGGTTCAAGTTACAGATAAAAAATCAACACTGTTATTATCCTCAAAAGCGAAAGCTCACATTTCTGAAGAGAGATCATGTTTCTAATTACCTTTTACGTATTTGTTCGTAAAGTGTTTGGGATTGGTGTTCACTGCAATTCTTGGAAGCTTGCTGGCTTTCTTCTTTTCGCTTGGCGGTGGTGTAGATCTCTCTGAAAGGTTTCGAAAATAATTGAATGCTATCTAACGGGCAATATAATTTGTATTTGTAGTATTTTAGTTTCTATTTAAGCTTCCAGCAAACATCATGATAAAATTGCTCGACTTTGCCATAAACTTGGTAGCTATATGTGAAGTTTTGCATGTATCTCTTGTCTGCTGTTACCTTTAAGATATTTTAAATTTATAGTTTCAGTGAGGTAAGTGCCGGAACCAAAGAGCCATTCTGGACGATGAATAACTTTTGCATATACGAAATTATTTTTTACACCGGTGCGTTCCAGATTTTTTGTTGGAATTTTTTCCACTTAAATTTTCAAAATTTTTATATCCACTTGCGCTAACCTTAAGTACATGTCTTAAATGAATTCTTGAATTGATAAAACCCTTTTAACGTAATACATTGAGAGTGTCTCTTGCATTGCAAGCATCGGTTTAAGACATAAGTACTTATGGTTAGTGCAAGTGGACTTTTGACCATAAATTGTGGTTTAAAGTACAGAACAAGTTTCTTCAGTTTTGGCATCGACTTCAGTATTAAGTAGGTACTATAATCAAAAACTACTACTCACTAATTTTGTATAAATACCAATTAGAACTATGATTTTTTTACATTCGTATCCAATTTTTGTTTAGAATTAGTTTTCTTGACAATATTTTCAAAAAGTTTTTAGCAGCTATTGATAGGTGGAAATAATTTTAACAAATACGCATCATTTGTCTCAAATCTCTACTTAATATATATATATTTCTCTATTCAAATGCGTCAATTACAAACTCCCCTAGTTAGTTTAGACGATTCTGTTGCGTAATAACATTAGTTTCTTTAATCCTATCTATAGATTTTGAAAACTATAGCTTAACCTCATTTTATAAGTGACGAGTAGAACAAAAGTTTCGAAACGCTTTCAATCAAAAATTTCTTCTAATTATAGCAAGAATATGATCTTAAAATTCATTATCATCTATCACTAGTAATACAGGGTCCAAAGAACAATGGCAAAATCATAGTTAAAATAATTCGTTAGCGTCTTCAAATGCCTTCATTACAAGTTTAAACAAAATAAATTTATTAGGTTTTTCAAATTATAATAATAAATGTATCTAAGCCCGGAAATAAAATCATATTTAAAAGAAACTCCAATGACTAATTAGACTCGACCCGACTCTTAGTTTCTTAACGTTGAGCGGCATCTAGCCACCAAAAAAAGAATTTCAATACCTACGTACAGATATGGTCCACAATAAGTTAGTTCACGTAATATCAAATGTACTGATTCGACCGATTTGTAATAAACTAACTACTTCATTACAAAAAATGAAGTAATACCTTCTCCAAAAACAAAAACTAACCACAAAAGTTCCCGAAATCAGGGATAGATGGCACGTTTCACAAAAAATAATTTGTGTCCGAGTTACCAGTGCTATAGTCTGTGGTATGTATTAATTAACCCAGTTTTTTGTTATGGCTTAACTTCATGCATTTTGACCATACCAGTATAAAAAATAATTTCCTCTGAACTTTCGTCACGCCACAAACCCACGGTACCATTCAGTTTCTATTAACTCTGTATAAGGCTTCTGTAGTTTATTTTGATATAATCATACACCGAATATATTTTATTCAATTACGTAACACATAAACCTCCAGAACTTCAAACTGGAATATCTTTAATTCCAGGCTTCTCAGAATAGAAAACCCAAAACAAAATTTGTTCAGAAATTTCAACTCTTTATGACGCATACAAATTATGTCAACAAAAATTTATACGGGAGTTTGCCATTGTTCTTTACTTACATATATATTTATGATCGTACAAAAACAGGGTTCAAAATTATATATAAAGCATGATGTTCGTGATACAACAATGAACTGAAGCATCAAATTGAAGTGGTGACATTGCACCGCGTGACCCAAATTCGGAGTACGAGTGTTTACTATGCCATTTGAACTATCGCATTTCATATATAGATGTAGAACCATTCGCAGATCAGTTACATACAACTTGGAAGTGATGTTTAACCGTTTGATATCCATACTATTATCAATCCGTCAAATCATTCACTTTGAGACAATTGACGTCCATAATACATTACCTAGTTATTTAAGTATACGCAGATCAATAACATTTTACAAAACACAAATAAGTAGCAAACAAAAAAGAGCACCCATTAAACTAGAGTCGCGGGCTAGGCGGTCTTTTACATAAGCATGATCGGGTAGTCAATTCTAGCAGCTGCAACGGGAAGAAAATACTATGTGTTATCACGGATACGGCTTAATAATGAGGCAGCTCTCTTTCTGAGAATGGCTTGAAAGCCATCCGTGTGAGCTTCCGCGAAGATGCCGCTCTACAGCACCGTGGCAGCCCCAATAAAGCTCTAAAAGGGTTGTTGTACTGAAAATGCAATCATGAATAAGCTTGTCTTTAAGACTACTCTTTACCTGGTCTCTCTTAAGGACGACCTCAATTTTGTTCATGGTAAGCATTGACTTACAATTATATGGACGTCGGGTCCGCGCTAAAAAGTGTCCGAACTTATAGGGCGTTAAAATCGTATACAGAGCGTCATTCACGCTTTAGTCTTCGTTTGTTCGACTGACCGCGAAGCAAGCAAAATTAGACAGTACTGCGATGACATTACAATTTAAATTCAACGTTTTAGCTTTTTCATATTCCTTTACATGTCACTACGTTTAAATAGGTTGACTTGGGACATTTTTTTCGTGGTTTTTGTATTAGACCCGTCGTCCATTTATTTGTTAAGTCAATGATGGTAAGTAACAAAAGGATTTGACTATATTTATACAGTGACATTAAAAAAAATTGTACCTCGAAAAAAATGTGCACGCTCAATGTTAAATAAACTTGTAATATGTCTTTACACCTATATCCCTGGGAGTATGTAAGCAAAACATAGGGGATCTCCACTTGTTACGACAGCAAAATTTGTGGTTGCATCCTTTTAAACACACCCGCCTAATTCAGGCTTATTCATGGACTTCTCAAAATAACATATTTCGGTACAACTAAGTAACACTTTCTATTGTGGTGAAGAATACGAAAACCCCACCCCAGACTGAGCAATATAAGAAAATTATAAACAAACCGACGCCGCTAAATGGCGTAAACTCTTTTTGCGAGATTTCTACTTCAGAATGTCAAGATTTACGCTGCATTATTAACTCCTGCCGTCCTACCGTACCTTTTAAACGGACTCATAGTCGACTCTGTAGTTTTGTCAACAATCTTGTTTTTTATATTTTTTAAAGTTGATTCATATAAAAATTCTTCTGTTTTTTGTACATAAAACAATTTTTGAATAAGACTCTCTCGTTGTATTAAAAAATTATGGATGTAAAGTTTTGTTTATTATGTTTTGCGTGAACAATCAATGAAACATTTACTTTTTTTCTTTCAATTGAGCTATAGACCGAGACAGCAGATCTCACTACTTTCTCTATTTCTTTTTCTGGGATGTGCAATAAGCACGATCCTTGTATTGGTGTAAATGGCTTTTTACACATCAGTGTCAGCTGTGAGAAACTTATGAAGTTCTTCACTCAGCCACGTAAGTACTTTTTCAACAATCATGGTAATATCAAACGCTACTAAAATATTTGAGATTCTGTTTAATGTTATATATGGACACGAAAATCCCGCACATGCAAAAATTAATTGTTTTGAGAATGGCCGTTATAAAATTACATATATCGATACCAGAAGTAGCAATGAACGTAAGGGACATTTAGTCGAAAATGAGTTACATATACCATTGGATTCGGAAGTTCCCGCTCTATCGATTGGTATTATTAAAATCTAGGAACGCGTGGTTTAAAATATAGCATGTCTCTTATATTAAAAAGCATTAAAAAAGATGTTTAGTTGTGCCTTACGTTACTGGTGTGTAAACCGTCGAGCATAGTGCAAGCAGGAAGAGAAATAGAAAATTATACGTAATTCTATTGTAAGCGATCCTTTACAATAGAACTAAACATCTTTTTTTAATGTAAGGGACGTGCTATATTTTAAACCACTAGACATTCCTAAAGAAGAGGAAATTCTAAGAAACTTTGCTCTAGACACAATCAAAATTGGAGTGTGACATAACCCTATCGCATAACCCTACCACTTTTTCTACATTAAAAGGAAACAACTTATTTTTGAGTTCTCTTTTAAAATGTTGTCTAAAAGCACTTACAAGGTTTCGTAATGAAGCAGCCGATTTGTTCATAGCCATATTTTAACGTTTTGGATACGTTATTAATTATTATTCAAACAGACTTAAAAAAGAATCTTACCAGCTGGTGCAGACTTGTTACGTTCCGAGTTGACGATTGTTTTTTTCGGTTCAACAGGATACAAATCGAGTTCTCTTCTAAGGCCTGTTTGTTCCATTCCTGCCATTTGATAAAAAAATTGGACTTGAAAATCAGGTTTAACCAGTCATTGTCATTGCTTGGTGCTCTTTTTTTACATCAGAAATGTTCAGATTGATTCAGTGAACAGTTTAGAGCTATAGAACAATCAAATTAGGACCTGGTTGTTGTTCGTGTCTGCTAAGGAACTTTTTGGCTATACAGCGGCTACACCATGAGCGCCGATTGTTGGAAGAATGCCACGCGAAACCCAGCTCTAAAATTTTTAATAAATTTTCTGAAAAAGCAATAAAGTAATTCAAAGTCATTGTTTATGGGGCATTATCTCCTATGTGCCTGTTTGAATGGATCTTGGCCTATTTTTTGTATTCCAGATTTAGAGAGTCAGTATGATCCTATTAGAAAAAAATATAATTTAAATTTGTCGATGTGACCAAATTGTCGGGGTCACAGTAGTGAATAGCGGACTTTACGCGATAGAGTGTATCGCGCTTGATACAGTAATCGTACGCGATTGAGCGCACGTGTAAAGATGTTGGAAGGAAAACGGAAAGACCGAGCGCACTCCAACACGCGCCAGTTTCATGCGGTCTATGCACTATTAGACTTTAGACGGACGCTCTTTCTGTTGTAACAAAAACGAACACGAGCAATCATGCGTGAAAGAACGTTTGTTTAAAAAACTTCTAACAGGTAATCGCGCACGATTGCGCATGCAAGGTTCCCGCGTGTAAAAGGAGCTATTGGTATAGTTCTACACGCGTCAAATGCAGGTTACAATCTTCACACCGTTTTCGAAGAGATCTTTTAAATATTCGCGGCACGCACGTTTCTGCATGATGCCAATACAGTAACTATTCGCACGAATAAGTTTCTTTTCACAACAGATTGTCGACAGAACACATCGTCAAGTGGAGTTAAAAATTGTCTACACATATTATAGTGTTGGATTATATAATATTATTACTAGTATAAGGCTTGTTACTTACTGAAAAGAGATACCAGGAGTTTTGGCTATTCTCCCAGACGTTGTCTCTGTACAAGGAATATCACGTTGAGATTATATTCTAAATATTGATTCAATCTGATGACGATTTTCTCGGAAACAACAATAAACAGACGGTCACTTTTTGCTTTCTACAATGTAATCGTTTAACTGATTGTCTTAATAAGTGTTTAAATCGAGCACATTCAATATTATCATAGGACTTCTATGACACCGAATGCTGTATTTAAAAGAGAGGAAGTAGCTTAGTGTTCTTTTCTCAGTCAGTATAAGTTTCCCAATATACGAATCAATACTCCACGTGACAATTTCGTCGTTATCAATGCCGAATTCTTTTGGCACTGTAGAATGCTAATACCATTTAGGTGATTTCCCAACTTCAACAGGATCCGTTCTTTGAAATTAAAGCTGGTGTATTAGTCATTGTGTTAAAATATCAAATACTTACTCCTTATTAATAAATGTGCCCTGATCTACATTGCGGTCTATAATAAAATAAAAAGAGAACAAAGGTTTTTGTGGATATGCTATGTATTTTACGTTGTAATTTTGTGCTCAAACAGAAAAATTTACATTATGACTATTAATTTGAAGCTAATGTAAGGCGCTACAAGAAATGTCATTTTATTCTGTCATTATAATGCCAGAATTTTTCCTTTACCGAAAAAAGTTTCTTTAAATTCATGTAATATCGCGATCTTGTGTAGGAACGAGATTTTCTTCTGCTATCATGGCGTTGGCAAAATTTTCGGCTTCTATGGCCTTTTGTTCAGCTTGAATTTGCTCTAGTTTCTTTATCAAGTCTTCCTGTACGCTGTCCACTATTTCTTTTAGATTTTTGGCTGAAACAAAGTGATTTAAAGTTGAGATACGCATTTAGTTTTACACAGAATTCTCATTATTTCTTAAGGTATAAATATCTACCTGTCTTTTGATTGAACTCTTCAGCTATCAAAGATATTTTTTTTAGCGTTCCAACATGTTTGAAAATTTCTTCAGCTACGTCGAAATCGCCTCCAGTATTCACGGCTGCGTCTTCTGTTTCCACAAAGATTTTTGGATGTATTGGACTTGGCAGCGGTTCGAATGCGTCCATTGGTACCGGCATCCTTTGTAGTTTAGTCATCATTTTGCGATTTTCTTCAAATGCTGATAATGTGGCATTATTTGATTTTAATTTTATTTCCACTGCATCGCTTGAAATCAGCTCGGGTGCCAAGGAGTGAAGTGTTTCCATTTTCATGGGAGATTCTTTCTGCTCCGGCGACTTTTTGGAAAATGTGAATAACATATTGGTGAGACTTGCAATTATCATTTCTGGAATACACAAAGGAAATGTTCTGAAACCCAAATTGTTTAAATGCATGTCGTCCAGATTATAACGTCGATCAGAAAAAAATATTCGAAAACAATGATTATATTGAGGCAGACTACATGACTATTGGAGGAGACCAGCAATTTACATGGGCTGAAAGAAAATGTAAAATGATTCTTACGGACTACGTCATTCGAACTATTAGTGTCCGATTCCTCTTCCTCCTGCTTTTTTCGAGACGAAAATTTCCGCGTGAGGTCTGCCAGAAACATTGAGCACGTTGGACCTGGAATGTTATTACTGTTATCGTATTTCCGGTGTGCATGTGACCCGAACTCATTTAACGGTAGAATAAATAGACATCGTCTTTGTCAGCTTGACTAAACACTTAAAAACGACAATATTTATTTGTTTGTCGCAATTTCAAATTCATAACTTACCATCACTAGTTTTACGTTTCTTAGGAGTTTTCGGCTTGAGCAACGTCGATTTTTTGTTTTTTGCTTTATGCCTAACTGTCGGCTTAGTTTCCATTGTTCCCTAAAACGCAGCAGATGTTATAGGTGATAATTATCTAATTTAAGGGATATAATAACAATGTGAAAGATAATAACACCAATTGTCTGGTCTTAAACTAGGGAATTCCCTATATTATAAGTACTAGGGCAAAGGAATTCATTCCGGGGCACTATCTGGAACACTCGTATTAGAATCAATCGAAAAGATCATTTCTGAAATCGGTCCTATCAGGAGTCGAACGCTGGATGATGATGCTTCATCTAGTGCCCACAGTTGAAATCTTTGGGCCAGCATGGTTGTCAAATATAAATAAGTCGTCTTCCTCAGAAATGGCGTCTCTATGACAAATATTAAATTATGCCATCAAAAAACATATGTGGCTGAATATTTAGCCGTAAAAAGTTCAAAGTAAGCTATCTGCTCGTAATAATAAAAGGCTAAAGATGAAAAGGATAATAAATGTACTAACAATATGGTATTATTACATAAAATCAAAGCCTCTTTTATTACTATTGGCAACGAGATAATAAATAGAACAAGGTTACATAATATGTGAATCAGTTCTGGAACCTGTAGTAAACAAGGAAGGAAATAAAACTTATGCATAGCGTTTGCTGGGATGTTCACAATTCTTGGGATCGGATCAATATAGTGATTCTTGACAGGGTTAGATACGAAAACAACAGAAGCGCAAATACTTCTTTTTAAATATAGACAAAAAGCAAACATTGGTGAAAAACTAAATTAAGGTCAGTGAATTTGATCTGAAAAATTAAGAATTCCCTGTACTATGAGAACCAGAGCAAATGGGATTCACTCAGCGGCACTATCCAGAATATCCAGGTCAGAACCAATTTACATAAGTTCATTTCTCAAATTGGTCCTACCGAGAATTGAATCTGGTCCCTCCACATCCAGTGTCCACAATGCAAACCATTGGGCCACTGAGCTTGTCGAATTATATGAATAAAAACTTATTTAGAAAGACGTGTGAATTATGCATAGTAATGGTAATGGCTAAAAATGGTAAAAAATATCTTTAATAACTTTTTCGTTACAAGAGTTAATGCCTCTAAATTGTAATATTCCATTAGCAACAAATTAAGCTATAAAACTGTCTCTTATTAAATAGAAACTTTAAACACTAAGTATATGAATGATATGGAGAACAATTTAAAAAAATATATTTGGATGGATTGTATACCTTTTGTTGTAGCCAACCGTACTTCATGCAGTCCAGGAAAGCATAAAATCTGCACAGGCATTAAAACAGAAGATTTGTGATGAAAAAAAAGAAGAGAATTCACTTAGTTCCACAGAAGAAAAGTTCTTTTAAGAAACATAATATGATTTTTTAAGAAATCCGCAGTTCCACAGGGAGTACTAGAACACAGAATATGTAATAAAACGAAAACAATCTTCTAAATAAAAACCGGAAGTCCCGACGCGGGACTTCCGTGGATAAAAACGTAAATTATATATTCAATTAAACAATCAATTTGGACAACTCGGACGATAAAATTGACAACAACTTGTTTACATGTCTAAATAATTTTCATAATCTTTAGTCTGCATGACAATTATCAAAGGATAATTGATGAAAAATGTTTATACGAACATAGACCCTCTCCTTTATCAATTAAAATTGCATTTAACATACATTTGTAACTTAGATATTTTTGTACATTTATTATTCAAAACAAAAATAATTAAAAGTGGTTTATAAATCTTACCAGTGTAATATCTTTGCTTACCAGCTATTGCTTTATACTGCTGGAATCCCTATAACGCAACTTGTTGCGCCGAAATGGTATTTGAATTTAACTCGCAAAACTTAGATACTTTCATTTTTTAATCGTATTAGCAATGGTTTGATTGAATCAACATTTGCTTCCTTATTCCATCCCTTTCCTGCACTTACCTTACTCGCACGCAAGAGAGAGACAACGTCACCCAGCTGGTGACACCTAGCGGACGAAGAAGAAAATATTCGCTTCCGCCCCTGTTGAAATTTCGCGCGACGAGTGCAAGTTTGTTTGTTGTGAGAAATCACAGTGAAAACATACTAAACTGAAAACTATAGTGAACATACTTTTTGATATACTTGTAATATCAAAAATCGCTTCCTGGGCCAGGCAAGGAGCGGAGATCGCTCAACTCACCGGCAGAAAGGCAACACACGGTTGGTTACAATAGGTATTGTGCTACCAGCTTACCCACTCTTACTTGTTCCAATCAATCATACATATTTATTCATATACGTACAGTCCACAAATCGAAGAAAGGCATCATTTGCATTCACTGCATGGTTGGCCGGTTTGGGTTACTCGGTAACTAAAATCGCGCCACCAGCTACAATACCTATGTGACGGCTTTATACGTAGTATTGGTTTATAAACACGCCCTTTCCCGATGAGGCAGGACTGACAGGACAAGAGGAGAGTAATGGATCTTCACACTTACTTTGCAAGCCATGGCCGGGAAGAAGGCGCATGGTCCATAAATGAGAAACTTTCCGTGTTCGTTTTTTGCAAGTAATGCAAACATTTCCGAGCACGTTTGCGAACTAACTATTTTATTTTAATCTCGTTGCCTTTTGCCTTTGCCTAATATTCAACTGCTATAACAATTTCTCCTATTAAGACATCGCTTGTTCATCATGGCATCGATGTCTAAAATATCATCGATATTTTAAAGAATTCAAACGCGAAATTTGGAAAGTTGAAATTACAGGCTAAATTCACGGCAAAGATGACTCTGCACTATAACTTACAACTCGTTTCTGAAATAAGTTTGAAGGGATCATACCTAAGGAAACAACAACTACTGAATTATTTAACAATATAATTGATTTCATTATTTTATTTTATTTTAAACAATGGATCAGCAATTGCAACAGGGATATCTGAAACAAAGGAAAAATAGCTCTTAGTATTGATAATCATAGATTGCATTCTTTATCTCATGACTTGGGATCGGCGCAGTAAGTTTCGATAAATTTAGACAGGTTTTCTTTTTGATACAAAATGACGGGACGAACAAGTTGTGTGTGTGATTGCAAGCGACACGCCTGTCCATAATAGTTGCAGTGCCACTCAGAGCTTCAAATCCATGTGAAGGGCACTGCCACTGCGCCTGGCACTCTGAGACATAAGTTGACAAGACCCATTTGCCTGTAATTTGGCCAACACCCCTTACCCTTCCAAACCGGACCACAGTAATGCTGACATTACTGCTTGGCGGCAGAAATAGGTAAGGTGGCAGTACTTCCCTGGACGAACTCTTTCACAAGGAGCTCTACTGCTGCTAAATCTACTATCTCGGTATCTTGAGACTCAAATTATAAAAAAGCCGTTTCAGCGATGATGCCTATCTACATTTTTTTATTAACTTATTGTTTCCCAGTGCCCTACTCAAACCCATCAAGATTGTCCCGCTAATGCCTTCTCGGCCATCCCCGCCGTCGCCTTCCATCCCCGGGCACCCAAGGAGTGACGACGTTCGCCCATTTCTCGGATTGCATTTACATACTTATTCTTAATGTTATTAAGAAATTATATATATGGAAATGCTAATAATATGCTCCGGAATCTTATTGTAAAAACATAAAAACGTAGTTCCCCATAAAAGAATCGTGTACGTTAGTTAAACGAAATTGTGGTACCATGAGTTTGGACTTAGTTCTAAGGTTATATTATAGTATAGATATCTTCTTTCTTAATATCATATGTGAATGCACAAATGGACAAAAAACTTACGACGACTTGAATAGATTGTATATCATTTCGAAAGGGAGTATTTGTTCATAACTTTTCCACTGGACTGCTGACAGGTTTCTGAAAACAGAAAACAAACGGACTGTAAAAAGAATTAGTAATAAACGATGGATTCATTCTCAGCGAGTTAAAAGTAATTTCATGTCACAAAATTAAAAATTATTTAAAATTTACTATTTTTTAATAATATCTTGAATTAATAAACATAGAAAGTGAAAGTCAAATAATCCTTAGTTCATAATTAAGCATATAACATTTGAGATTGCCAAATTTATTAAACTCTGATGCTCATGCGTAAGGCAGATTCCCCTGAGAAGAATGAGTAAGAAGCTCTAGGCGTTGCTCTTTATAAATAAACATTTGTTCATATTTATGATTTAGGGCATTTCTCCAAAGCCGCAATTTTCTGTGTCCATGCTCTCACATAAACATCACTTATTTATCAAAACAAAAATGTACAAAAAAGTATATGATATAGGTCGGAAGCTAACTGGAGAGCACAAAATAAATCTTCCCAATAAACCTTTCGGACCTAATGGAAAAAATTCGAAATGCCTAAAACCTGACAACAGTGGCGTGTCCCGAATGCAGAATCCAACACATATTGTCATTTTTGTCAAAATTGAAACCATCATCATTCCATCATCACTCCCTGCCCGATCGCGGCAGCGGACACGTGTTCTCGTTATATTTGAACCGTTTATCAGTTACCAAAAATCTCTTGTGTCACAAACGTTTTAAACATTTTAAAGGTCACAAATATGAATAAAACGGGAAACTGGATTTATTACCACTATTTCTTTACCCTTTTGAATTTTGAACTTTAAACTTAATAGGCAAGAGTATGGAGGTTGCGGAGGCTAATACTTCTACTCTCTCTACAACATTATAGCGCTTTTCAAATACGAAATTCGATGGATTTGGTCCAGGTCGATTTTTTAATTCGGTGTGTAGGATATTTTCAAAAACTAAATTTTATGGTTGTCCGTAATATTCTTTACAATATATGTGTTGTTACGACTAAAATATATAAACAATTTATTGGTTTTACAAGTATGTCGTTTACGAGTAATATAAAAAAATATTTTCTAAATCCCGGGGCCTTGGATTCGGTGGATTTTGTGCCACCGAATTCAGAAAAGCTTCCACCGAAGTCGAAAAAAAACCATCGAAGCCATATTTTCTTGGAAAAGAATTTTACACATTTTGTCATATAAATATTTAGTTAATATTATTGATTTTAAAAATTTTATATTAGTACTTGCTTCCCACTGAAAATGAGTAAGGAAAATCAAAACAAAAAGAAAAATTGGAAATCAAGAAGATGAAGGAACGTACTAGAAAAGCAAAGATAAAAAACGATCTAATTATATATGAAAGGTTTAGAAAAAGAAAGACAGAAGTATGTGAAGAAAAAGCGGAAAGAAAGATTTTGAAGTCGCATGAATTACCTTAATGAAAAATATGAATCGCGCAAGTTCCAAAAAATTTATTACTTTTGTAGCTACAGTATACGTTCTAAAATTTTTTTTAAAAGAGATACGGAAATACTTTATGTGATTGAAAAAAGGCTGACAGTCAAGGTGAACACTGATTTTAATTAGTAGTCATAAGGAGAAATTTATTTGCGTAGTTCTGATCGATTTACAAATAATTTTTAGTTTTTAAAGCTTGTTAGTTATGTTAGTAAATTTTTATGTAAATTGATTGAATATTTTTATTGCCTTTTTCACAACATTTGTACAAAAATGATGCCTTTTGTTAAATTAGCCTGATTTCGGTGGTAGCTGAATTCGGTGGATCAAATATGTCATTAACCGTTAATAATCTAGTTGCCCAATTGACGAAATCTTTGTAAGTTTGAATTCTTTTTCCTTCGTGCTTAATGTTTTTCCTGAAATTAAGAGTATAAATTCGACCACCGAAGTCAGAAAACTTTGTCCTTATAGGAGAAATGCCATTTACAACATTTATTTCAAACATTATAAATCGAGACCGTCTGTCTGTAAAAGCTTAACGGGTCATTACCACGGATTTTTCTCATCCAAGTACGCACAAGCTGTACAATACCCTTTGGTATACATTTTTTTGTTTCACTATAGACAGAGAACAAAAAGTAACGAGAACGGGTACTCTCCGCCCCTCCCTAGTTTTAAATACCGCACCACGCCCCGCACATTGACTGTCACATTGACTGAACGACAACGAGACTGTCGGCAAGCAGCTTTCGCGCTAAGACGGCTTTGATATTTGAATTAGTTTTCATTTATTCATTACGAAACGTGCGTTAATATATAACATCATTTTACGTTACTATTTATAATGGTCGTAAATTCTGCTGGGTACGGCTGTTTATATTCATCGAAATTGGATAAAGAGAGGAGTTTCTTTCGTTTTCTGAAAGATGAAACGAAGTAAGTAAAAAAACTTATGTGTGAGACTCATTCAGTTATTGTTTTCTTTAGTGCAGAGTAATATATAATACAGATTTATTATATCAATATAATAAGACGTCATAACTTCGTGAGCTAGTAGACAAGGGCTGTCGAATTTTCAATTTGTATTGCTGTAAATATTAAGTAGTGAATATACCTAATTATTAACTAGGTAATGATAAACTTGGACACGCAATTTTAAATACTTTGGTTACCTAATTTAAAGATACCTGTCCAAAATATAAATTTTAAACGCTTTTAATATATTTTTTTTTTAATAAATCTTCATTATTATTCTAGTTACCGAATTAATGAAAAATATAATATTATATCGATATAAATACATAATGAACATGTGTAATTATTATGATTCTATTAATAGAATTATAGATAACAGATTCGCGTTAGAATTTTTGACCACGTAACGTAATAGTACGGGCAAGTGATGGGTAACCCTGCCACTTCACGCACACGTTTGCGTGTGTGCAGATAGCGCTGTGCTGTATGTTGTAGTAGTAGGTAAATAACTTTGGACCTTTGCATGGAGTGTCCGCGGTGTGCTATAGATTTAAAGTTTGTGCATGACCAATTTAATTAACTTAAAATTAAATTTAAAAAATAGAACCGTACACATTGCCCCTTAAACGAATTCATGACTTTCTGAAGATGATTGTCAGAACAGCAAGTTTATTTTTGTATCTCGTATTAGTGTTACGTCTAACATTTTCATAAATGTACTACATCGAGATGTACTGTGACGCTAGTGTAAGAATAAACTTATCTTTCGAAGACACTCTGCAGGACAAATATTCTATTAACGTCGACGGCGTTATCCCAAAGCAAAATGCCGTATGTCATTGACTGTGAAAGTAGCTGAAGTAAACCAAATCTTACATTTATACATGTTCCTGTATTAACGGTGATTCCATCATACAGCATACATAGTTCCTTGTCACCGACTATTCCTGTCAAATAGATTTGAGGAGTAACCAATAATCCCCGACATCAGCGAAAGAAGTTTCCTTGTCTGCCTGTCGTCACTTAATTTCGCACCTGACTGTGCAAAACTAAGTGAAATCCATACGCGACTCACTATTGGAACAGGACCCTCATCTATTAAGATGGGGTTTCCGTTGCAGAGATCCTTATGGCATATGATTATCATTAACCCATTTATACGACCCATTGCTGGACACAGGTTTCCTCCCAGGCGAAGGTTTTTTAGGTCATAGTCCCAGACGCTGATCTAACGCGGGCTGGGGACTGTATATGTTTCACAAAGGTGGTGAACCTTTTTCGAAGCGGAGGTTTCATCACGATGTATTCTTTCACCTAAAAGGGCATGGTAAATTTCATATTAAATTCTCAAACAGGATTTCCAAACGTCGAGTACATAACCCGAAATAGAGATAAAATAAGGGCCATCCATCCATGGCATCTCATCAGGTAAATGGGCCTTATGTCACTTTTAAATATCAACTCTCGTTAGCACTGAAATCACAAATTAGAAAGCTGAAATAGTACAGCGCCAACAACTGACCTGTGTGTAGGTCTTCGTATATTCCAAAAATATTCTGTATTTATTATAATAAAGATAATATCTCTAATTATGAGGGGGGCTGTTCCATTCGGTGGTGTGGGAAAAACAGCAAAACATTTAATTACAAAACAAACGGAATCACATTTCATCGGTCATTACATTACATATTAAATATGTAATTTTTCAGTTTTCGTCCATTATAGCAAAGCTCAAGTTAAACTGGTCAATTTGAAATGAAACAATTGACGACACCCGTCAATTATTTCGAATTCGGGCTGGCCAATCGGAGCGCAGTTGTCACCGTAATGATATGGCAGAATAGTTTTGAAACAAATTAAATAACATTTCGTCTCTATTGTTGGTTATAAACTGGATGATTCCGAAAAACTCGGAAGCTGCGAGCCCGGATTCAAACCTGTCACTTAGTAAATGTAGACGCTTAGTGACATGAAACCATCGGGAGTGCCCTACCCTTAAAGAATAATAAAAAAAGACCAAATTCAAGTCACCAATTTATTTTCTTTTCAAATGAAGACAAATTTCCAGGCTGAGGACTACGACCCTAGTAATTAGACAAAAATGGCAATCGAAGCTGTCATTCTACAGTGATTTTTGTTCAAGAATCTGATGACGTAAAGCAATATTGTTGGAATCTGAATTTTCTAGGATAGGAAGTAGTAATCATTGGTAAAGATGGTATCCATAAAAATCTCGTTTACCATATCGATTTTGCTAGTGTATCTTATAAATCATATGCACTTATATTGTCCAAATACAACAGTAAAAAGAAACAATAGAAACTTACACTAATTTATGTACTTCCAGCGACTTTTTTTAGTCTGTACAGATCCGGCCAACATCAATGTCGTCAATGACATTTTAAAATTTATAATAGCGTACCAAATGAGATAAAAAATCAAGAAAAGATATCGACATTTACTGCCTATCCGATGGTAACCGTTCGGCCACGGAGCCACTAAATGTTATTTAACTTTATGTTATAAGAAAATAATAATTATTAACCATTTGTAGAGATATTTATATGTGTAATTAATAATTTATAATGCTCAGTGTGGTGTCACATGTGTGACTACTGTTTTATATTTTATAACATCTTATGTGAAACCATGTGGCAAGCAATAAAGATATGAATATGAGTATGAGTATGAATACGAACATGAATATGAATAATTTGTAAATATAAAATAATCAGTTTTCGAGCTTCAGCTTTTTTTAATATGAAACTGTTTTCAATTTTACTAGCATTTGACAAAGACATATATTTGAGGATATAGCGATTCTTTGTTGGTTTAGTCATTTTTACTGGCCGTACTTTTTGTCGTTAAGAGTCGATAGTACCTCAGGCCGAATTTAAATTATTCCCGTACTAATACGATTCATTTTGTTTAGGTCGAGCGGCAGAACACTGGCTTTATATCAGAATTTATTTTTTTTACATGACTTTATATCAAAATGTATTTTTTTACATGACTTTATATCAAAATTTATTTTTTTACATGACTTTATATCAAAATTTATTTTTTTACCAACGAAATTAAAGCCTTTTGAAAATTGTATATCGTATAGTATGTGTTCAATTTACTTCAGTTAATATAATAAAATATCATTGCTACAAGTAAAGTGCGTGAATACAGCGGTTTTCTAATGAAATTTCAAGGTAAGTTAGTGTTTTTTTTTTCACTATGGAATTTTACTATGGATATTTTCCAAAGTGATTGATTTAACACTCTCACTGTTACGCGGAATCAACCAAAGCCATTTGAGATAAAAAAGACTCTTTTAAATTTATTTTTTTATGCTTTAGAGTCAATCGACAAACAACGGTGTTTATCTCACCAAAGCGGAAAGTATGCTGAATATTGTAATCTTTATATCAAACATGTCCCTTTGATGAAACTGAATTGTTAGCCTTTGAGGCAAAGGATCAGTTAATAGGGTGCTAGGACCTACCGTTCTACGTAGTTTCGACCACTAAAATCACAATACACCAGGGCTGAGTTTGGTGCCTGCTATAAGTAAGGAATAACAGTAGTAATAACCTAGTTGGTTTGACCTACCGCTTCTCAAGAAGATGGTGTTGGGTTCAAACCCGGGCTTGCACCTCTGTCTTTTACGGAATTTATGTGTGAAATCAATTTAAATTTACCGTGAGCTATAATTATTAAGAATTAGAAGTTAGAAGACTTCGGTTCGAATCTGGCCGGATCGAATTTTTTCTAAGTGTTCGATCTTTGTAATAATTATAACAAACTAGTGGCGTAATTTCACAAAAAATAGTTGAATATCATCATGAAACAGCCTGATATTCAATAAAAACACTTGATTTCGGTGAATAGCGACAGCCAGGGCTGGTAGTTGTAAAGGTGCTTGCTAAGGTCTCAGATTACAAAACGATAGACAGATGGAGCATACACAACAAACGAAGTGAAGCAGCTTTTCATTTAATGTGTGCGTGATGACTAGGAAGGACACTGTAGAGACAAGCGCATCTGTGTGCGTGTAATATTGCCACATGTTGTTAAAAACTCCCAAATTATTTTTCTGTTGCACAATACTAATGTCACAAACTGGAAATGTTATTTTGCAATGTGATTGCAAAAAACTTAAGTGGTATTTGGATACAAAATAATAAATAAAGTATATGCAAAATAAGTCAATATTTATTTCTTTTATAGATTAAAATCACACAAAGGAAAAAATATATTAAAATTGAAAAACATTAATAATTCGAAATTTTTTTATTACATTTACGTTACATAATATTTTAATAACCTTTATTTTGTACTAATTTGTTATAATATTGCCTATTAGTTTCCAATTAGGTTATGTAGCGCAATCGCACCATCAAATAATTTTTAATTACAATTTTTATTACATTAACTTTGTGATCAATCCCGTACCATTGATGATCGTGTTCTAATTTCACAAAAATTTTTTGCTTCCCAATAAATCTCTTTACTACTTGTAAAGTTATGTACATATAATCATTTTTTGATTTTATTCAAAGGTTTTCTTTTAAAATTTGTCGTATTACAATTTCTGTCGATGCACAAACGTTGTAAGTGTCAGCGGAAGTAAAAATTAAATCGCCTTTGTCCTTCAAGCTAATCAATTTGTGAAAATCTCGTCTTTCAGTAGACACCAAATTTTAATGTGTCAAGCAGGGTTCACATTTGATAGCTTTTCTAACGTACCGTATGACACATCCAGCAATATATCCAACTATTACTTTTCTCATATCACTGAAAATAGGCACATCTAAGTACTGTGCTAAATTGTTGACATCCGCGTGCAAGTCCTATAAAAAATGGAAAGAAACATTGGATCATCCTGTATACGCACGCGTTATTTAATTATATAAAAGTACAAGTTATCGATGCTCCTGACTCATGACCTTGTATACCTGACCCATGCATATTTACCTAATTTAAGGGAATCCATTTCGATGCAAAACTGGCAACATATACGAATATTTGTCGAAGTTTTGTGTTCCGAATGAATCTCAAAAAATATCGGGTAAATAAATTACCTATGAAATGATATTCCATCTTTTTTTTGATATTGGGAACAACTTTTACAGTATTTAAACACACAAAACTGACACGAGACTATATACTGACCTGAGATTGTATTCGCTTTTGATTCAGTATTTGCTTTGGTGGCTTCATCCTTGTGTTCGGCGCGCTCCATCTGCCTATATTTTGTAATCTGAGACTAAGGTGCTTAGTAGGTGACGAAATATTTTCATAGATTTCTCATAGATGGCGCTACGGCTAAAAAGTCGTTAAAAACCAGATACAAAGATCCGACAACAAGCACATAGAAAAATTCGTGAGGTCCGCTGGTTTGTTCCATTGCTTAGTTATATAGGCATAGCGTCTGGCAGGGTTTGATAAAAGACATCGGTTCGAAAACAAAAATTTGTATCAATAATTATAACAAACTAGAGGAATAGTTTCACAAAAAATAATTGAATATGATGAAGGTGAAACTTTCTGATATTCAATAAAAGCGCTTATTTATCTCTTGGGAATATTGTTTACTTACCAATGGCTCTAATAAAAGACTGATTATCTCTAATAAACAAAAAAATTGTATAAAACTTTTCTTGGTACAAACATTTCCTTTTAATATTATACTTCATTTTATGATGATGTTTTACTAAACACCATACTAAGAAGGCCATTGAACTTCCGACTCGTAGATAATACGTGCTCCACTATTTGGCGCGGATATAGGAAGATTAAATAAATAAATTCAGACGGTACTTGCATCAAAAGTCACAACTTTCAATGTAAGATCAATTTAAACTCGATAGTCTCAAATTGCTTGTTTATAGTACCGATTGTACCAAGTAGGTAATAATGTGTTGCTGGAAAAAACAGCTCGCAATATTTTACGGTTTGTCCGGGGATCAGCGACCGCTATTATCGCAATGGATCGAATGACGCAGAAACTTTCGCTCCGTCGAACCTAGTACGATAAACGGCCACCTGTTTATAGATTGGGTATACCATAGCAGAGGTCTATAACCACAGACCTAACCAGAAATTGAGACGATTCATTTAATTTGTTTTAAAACTATTCTGCCAAATCATGTCGGTGACAACTGCGTTCCGATTGGCCAGCCCGAATTCGGAACAATATTATGTTTATTACAATAAATACAGAATATTTTTGGAATATACGGATACGTACATTGTTGGCGCTGTATTATTTCAGTTTTCTAGTTTGTGATTTCAGCGCAAGCGAGAGTTGATATTTAAAAGTGATATAACTACCATTTACCTGATGAGTTACCAGGGATAGATGTCCCTTGTTTCGTCTCTATTTCTGGTTATATACACGATGTTACATCATAAGATATATAAATCAAAATATCGTGTAATGAAAGCAATACTGCACCAGCCGAGCCTCCTCACACGATGACAAGGCTTGGGTTGTAGTTACGGAACTTCACACGCATCATTACATTGCTTTGCAGATGTGTGCAGGTCTCCTCAAAACATTATTACCTACTTGGTACAATCGGTACTATAAACAAGCAATTGAGACTATTGAGTTTAAATTGATCTTACATTGAAAGTTGTAACTTTTGATGCAAGTACCGTCTCAATTTATTTATTTAATCTTCCTATATCCGCGCCGAATAGTGGAGCACATATTATCTACGAGTCGGAAGTTCGAAGGCCATATTAGTATGGTGTTTAGTGAAACATCATCGTAAAATGAAGTATAATATTAAAAGGAAATGTTTGTACCAAGAAAAGTTTTATAATTTTTTTTTATTAGAGATAATCAGTCTTTTATTACAGCCATTGGTAAGTAATAATATTCCCAAGAGCCTTATAAACTTGAACAATAATATATATTTTATAGTATCAAAGTAAAAAAAACTGTCATCGATGGAGAATTTTATTCCACTTAATTTGACTATTTTTGCCGAGGTAGTAGACTAGGAACTTCTCCTCACTTTCAGAACTATCTCCTGATTTTTGTCATTTCTTACTTGCTGCACTTCTCTATGATCCTCAAGGTCACTGTTATTTTTGCCCTCATAGTTGGAATCAGAGTCATCATCTTCCAAAAACCTTCTCATGCGTTCCTCATACATATTGGGGTTATAAAATATAACCCGCGTCGATCTAAGGGACCGATCGGTGTTGTGTAGGGCTACACGTGTTGTATGCACATATACTCCTATTACACTAAATTGAAGTTAGCCACGAACCATGCAGCTAGAAATGAGCCCAAAGCAGCAACGTTTTCCGTATCAAAAAAAAAACACGGCAAACGATAAACGTCTGTCTGAGAGACCAACGCGCGGGTTTACGAAGGTTAATGAATTTCTGGAGTTAACAGCAGCAAAAATCCATGAAAATTTCAAGAAATTTAAACATAACGCGATTTGTTAAGTTTGACGGAGAATAATGATGTTAACAATCAGTAATCACTCACTGTAGTCACTTGTTCAGGAGATTGCATGTTTACGTTTGGTAGTGGCTCAGGCACTTTCGGCTCTATTGCTTGTTGTGGTTGATTTTCTAACTCCTCCACGTTCGGCACTGGCGCTGTCACTTTACTTATAGCTTTTGCTGTTTAAAAAATTACAAAATCCTGTTTAGTCTGTTTGTGAAAATATAAAGTAAAAGTACTAGAGCATGATTTACCAATCCTAACTATAAAAAGAAATAAAATAAAAAGAAACTTCGGCTCGGGATTCGAAGTATCGACATCTCAATCGAAAAGCAATCATTTTCTCACTTGGATTCTCCCACCGCTCTCAAATCAAATTAAAAACCGTTCAATTTTTCATCTGTCATCAACTCAAAACGTATGTTCACCCTAATTGTTAACTGCCTCCTTAGCCGAACGGATACCATGCCGGACTGCCACGCACAGGTCCCAGGTTCGATTCCCGGGCCGGGAGAAATAGTTGTATGGCCTACAATTATTTCTCTCGTGAGTTTGGGTGTAATTTGTGGTTGTCTATGTGTGTGTCCATGGCACCCGCGATTCAGGGTTTCCCTATTGCGGGGCTATGTTGAGTGTGTGCGTTATTTATTTATTTATTTAATTAGAATTGTGTGCGTGAAGGTGTAATTTCTCTGCTACCTGTAAGCCCATGATAACTTTCATGTGCATCATAGAATTCTTCTCGTCCGTCTGCATTTTGGAGCGGGAAGGACCCCTCCGAAGACCTGCTCGATGACTGCCCCGTTTTGGATTTTGGCTTACTCTGTTTTTTCTTTCTAAACCTTTTGCTTTTTGGCTCTTGTAGGTTGGCTGTTGCTCCTTCTCGGCGAATGTCGTGGAGTTCTAGCACTAAATTGCCTTTGTCATTAATAACGTGGTCATCAGATGAGACAGAATCAGTGTTTAGTAAGTCGATATCGTCATCTTCTGAAGAATCTGTGTACAATAATAAACAAATTATATAAAAAATTATAACAGTTTATAACAATGCAAAATAGAAATGATCTTTTTAAAAAAATGGACGAAAAAATAAGGAAACGAAGTTTAGGATCGACAAATAATTTTTGTCGAGTCGCGTGAATGAAAATCAAGCTGATTTAGCTAGTCCCTTACCAGTAGGTAGTTTATCTACTAATGAGTTTTTGGCTCGCAATTTTCTTTTAGACAGATCCTTAATGAGAGAATCGGAACAAGTTGCTCGTGTTTATCACTTAAATACCTTTAATTGCACAATTACTGGCTTTACCCTTTTTGTTCGTACCAGCAGACTAATAAATTAGCCGGCAGGATTTAATGTTCATTATTTAGACAAATAGATTAAAAGTAGATTAGATGAAAGCTTCTAAATAATTTCAGTTGATTGCCCTAAATAGATGAAAAAAAAAATCGTAGCCGATTCCATCATTAGACAGTAAAGAAAATATAGATAAAAAAATTATTCCAATAACAAGAAGCTTGGGGTTCGTAAACGTTTTTCTGCCATGGGTGATATAACTTGTATTTGTGAAGATGCATTATGACGTCCTGATTGAAACTTTGAGCAGTATCAGACCGTAAGAATCTAGTTATTACTAATAATTTTGGCTTACCATCGTCCCATGAATGGTCGGTTGATAGTGGTGTATCTATGGAACCGTCGTCGTTCATTGTTACAGTCTCTTGTGGAACATATTTTGGTAAGAAAAAGCTATTTAAAGAAATATAAATCTGAGTGAAACATGCTTTAAAGTGTAACATGAGTTTTTTTGGATGGCCTGTGTGAAAATTGGACAAAATCTGAATGGCCATGCTTTAAACAAGAGAGCAACACAATTGGAAACGTAAATAATATAACCTTATTAAGACTTTTGATTGTTTTTACCAAAGTTTTATGCCGACTATACCTATATACGAATTATATCATTAGAAACACAGAGCAATAACTAGGTATAGTAAAAGTGTTTAGTGGTAGTGCCACGCATGCCAACAGTACATGCAGTTCCACATACTTGAGCTCAGTCCGCCATGTTTTTTTTTGGCTTTGGTTATAATAAAACCACAAGTGATCATATGAAAGTGCTTTAGTCACATGAAAATCACAAAATTAATACCGGACTACATGAAAGAAATCATGCATATGAGAAAATTTATGACTTTACTACTTAAGCATGAAAAACCTTTTCGAGTCTATACTATCTCAATCCGAATTCAAATTTTCCCTTGGGTCGAGTGGCAGGGACACTGACTTTATTTCAGATTTTTTTCCAACGATTTTAAAGCCAATTTGAAAAATGTTTATCGTATAGTAAACGTGTTCTATTTAGATCAGTTGATATAAAAAAAAGTTTTTAGGAATCGTGTTCTTACACCGTTTACTCATCAATCAGTATATATCAGTGCATATACTCAATTTTACTATATACTTTTCCAAACATAGCCAGTTGAGGTAATATTTCAAGGCGAGGCTAGATTTTAGGAGGTGAGATGTGGGGGTCACCCATAGGTCACCTCTCGCGCCTCGCTAGCCGTGTGCTGTAAATTAATATATTACGAATAAAATATTAACAGGCAGAGAAAATTTGACGATCCGACGTTGATAAAGGCCCGAGGCCCGATGGCGGCGCGGCTTGTTAAACCGCTGGGCAATTTGCAAATTTTTATAGGGCTTCATTTGAAAACCAAAATTTACCATAGTTCTCTGTACAACTTAAAGATGAATATCTCCATATGAATATTATGCACAAAAGTACATATTTTATTCTCAAATAATTGGTTTTAGACTTTTAACCGACTTCAAAAAAAGGAGGAGACGACTCCGCCATTTGTGAACCGATTTTGATGATTCTTTTTTTGTTGGAAAGATGGGACCTCAGAAGTGGTCTCATTTAAATTTGAAGACAATATTCGACCTCTAAGGGCGGTAAACTAGGGGATGAATGACTTTTGAGGTTCGTTTTTTTAGTACTCTGTGCTGAGGCTAGGTTATATTTTAGCCTGTTCTCGAGATCGTATGTGATCAGGTAAAGTACATCCTATCTTGTAACGAATTAGCACATTTTTTAGACAATATGCTTAGGTGTCAATATCTAAACCATTTGATGTAGCAAAACAGTTTATCCCGCTTTTCTTCCGCTGACCGGTCATAAACAAAAAATATGTAAGTGTAATTTTACAACTATCCTATTGTAAGCATGAAACATTTATCGCCAATGTCTTTTTTGCAGATGTGGCCTTATTATAAGTGACAAATTGCGGACTGAAATGAAATAAAAAAAATGTAATCATCGGTTATATTTTACAAGTACATAAAACAAAGGTACGCAATTTTAACTTGGACCTAAAGCAATAAACCTATCGCATTATAAAACGGGCATTATAAGGTTACGGGTCGAGTGGACGCCCCGGTATGAGTGCACTAAGTTATAAAATGTAGTCGGATACACGATATTGCCGGGAGCGCGTCGTAAATGGACGCGAACACGATTATGGACTCTGGGGCGGATTACGATTCACATTGTTGAGCCAAAGTTAACAATACTGTTAACACAAAATATGTGGAGTTAGGGAGTCACCACACTTAGGCTCAATTTATATTGCGGCGGAACGGAATGGAAGCAAATTTTTGTAACGATATTGTACATAGCCTAATGCACTTTATCGTCAATTGTGTAGTGTACAAACTAGAATTCTTCCGCGGAATTTTCGCGCACGCTCGAGAATGCTCGCGCATTCGTGAGAATTCCACAGCTGTCGTCGATGGCGCGACGGCAGGCGCAGTGTGTCGTCAAACGTCGACAAAATAGTACAGCCAAGGCATAATCGCGAGAAAGCTCATGAATGTTCGAGCATTCCAGCGACCGCGCGAGGCTTCTCGCACAGCGAGGCGAAATTGACGCTTCCGTTCCACCGCAATGTAAATTTACCCTTATCGATTCGGAATCGCATTAAACCGACCAGAAAAATATTTATGTCAATGTAATAAGAACGAAAATGATGAAAAGATTTTTCTGCCCGGCTTAAAATATATACTATTAGCAAAGACCACACGGTCCCACCTTAAGGATTCTTATTGCGTGCAGGTAATGGCAGTCAGTACGAACCACCACCTCAGCGTGCTCCTTCTTGTCGCCCAGTGGCGTTTAAGGCTCGATTTATAATACCGCAGAATGGAATGGAAGTCAAGTTTTGTACATATAATAATGAACTTTATGATAATTGTGTAAAGTACAAACTAGATACGATACGGTAGCTGCAGGAATTACCGAGACAGCGCGAGAATTTTCCGGTAAAAGCGCGACTTGTATTTTTGCTTGTGTCTAGTTTATACGTTACACAATTGGCATAAAGTTTATTATCCTATGGTTACAAAGATTCGCTTCCATTCCATTCTGAAGTAATGTAAATTGAGCCTAAGGGCTAAATAATTTTAATTTTGGTGGTATTTGCAAAATTTATGGATCCACGTAGTTTATTTTATTTCCAATAGAAAAATTTATTATTTTTCCTTTGAGTTTATTTAGCGATCGAAGGTGACACGTTTATTAAAAATTGTTAACAGTTTTTTTAAGATATTCGGAGTCCATTCAATTAAAAGCGAATAGAACTACATGGATTTTTTTTATGTAACATGTTTATTTCGAACTCAGGGGTATTGATACTGGGTCCGCAGTTATAACTTAACAAATCCCATATGCCTGTAATTTAGAATAAGAATACTTTATTGCGTAAGCAGCGAGACACACATGATCTCAAAATTAAAATACAATATCAACTCTAAACTAAAATACAGTACTTACAACAAAAGTTAAAACATAATTATTATGATTAAAACAACTGGTTTTCAGCAAGCCCGATGTGAGTGAAGCACGGACTCGAGCGCACACAAAACAAATACATGCATAACATGTGCGTGAAACTTGGTATATACAAAATTATTTACACTAAATATATAATACGAATACATAGATAAAACAGTATAAGTGTAAACTAATTTAATTACTTAATTAATAGATATATACATATTATGTTATATGAAGATGTAATTAATATTGTGTGTAGTAAGTAATAAATCATGTGTGAGAAATAAATAAACATTTCGAACCTGTCATGGTCCTTTAAGACGTCGATCGTTCGTCGTTTTTCATCTATTTACCGCTAGATAGCAGCACAGTGAATATATTCTGAATATAATGTCGATAAGAAAACAAAATGTCGTAACTAGCAATAAAAGGTATTGAACTTACAACAGTATGCCAACATGGTAAAGTTTAATTTAAATAACAGTCCAGAATCCGTTACATCTTTTCAAATTAGAGATACGCCAATCAATAACAAGTATAGACTTTCTGTTCTTTTATTATTCGCCAAGCGGCCGCGTAGGAAAAAAAACAGATTTTTGTTTTTACTATTAATTTTCAATTTACGGTCAAGAAAATAATCATAATGTTGACTCAATCTTATGAAGGGTTCAATGATAAAGCGGAAAATTTGCAAAACTTTGCGCGTGGACGATGGGCCTGTACTTCGAATTTCACCAGAACACTTCCAATATGAAACGCAGTAATGCTACCATTACTGCTTGTGGCAGTTCTTCCCCAGGACGAACGCTTTCACAAGAAGCTCTACTACTACCAAAGTTATAACTGTCATAACAGTGATTATTGTCATAATTGTGCTTATTATTTGTTTGTCACTCAAATGTCTGAAATAAGAACACAACCATTTCTTAACCAAAGATAAAATAATTAAACAAGTAGCAACGGATAATCTGGCAGGCTTTATTATCGTGAATCAGAGCAGCAGTAAAGCTCCTTCTGAAACAGTTCGCCAGGTTAGTACTGCCACTTTACCTTTTTCTGCCACCAAGCAATAATGTTACTATTACTGCATTCCGGTTTAGTATACCTTACCTTTGTAAGGGTGAAATTACAGGCACATGGGAATTGTCACCTTATGTTTCTGGGTGACAGGCGCAGTGGCAGTACCCCTCAAATCTTTGCGATTTAAAGCTCGGAGTGGCACTGCAACTGTTATGGACAGGCGGGACAGCTTACCATCAAACGCACGACTAATTCGTCCCGCCTCTTGATATAAAAAAAATGTAGTCTGTGTCCAAATCGAAAATAGAATTAGACCTGCTTCCACCCCTGTGGTGAACTAACATTGCTCACTGGATACAAGCAAAATAGACTCGTGGCCATTTTTATACAGTCTATAAAAGTGGAACGAGTCTGGCCCTTTCTCGTTTATGAGCCGATTGACACTGACCTTCACTGGACAGGCCACAGATAATAAAGATAAGTAACAATTCCCGGTCATCGACCTTATGTTATCGTAAAAGTATCCACTATTTGCATTTGGTAAATGAGAAATGTAAACGTGGAGATCTAATGAATTCTGACATATTAATAACAATAAAATTAACCGCCACTGTGGCCGAACGGTATCTGACTGCCACGCAGAGGTCCCAGGTTCGATTCCCGGGCCGGAAGAAATATTTGTATGGCTTACATTTATTCCTATCGTGAGTTTGGGTGTAATTTGTGGTTGTCTATGTGTGTGTCCATGGCACCTGCGATATAGTGTTTCCCTAGTGCGGGGCCATGTTGAGTGTGTGCGTTCAGATATAACAAATCTATAGAATTACAATAATGTTAAATTAGAATTAAATATTAGATTGACTTCTTACATACAATAAATAAATAGGTATACTTAATTATTAATAATTGAAATCCAATGTCGCAGTACGGACGAATCGCAACGAGTTATTCCCATCTGATCCCCAAAACTGATCCAACGCCA